GATAGAACATTGACAGCACAAAGAAGAAATGGGCTCTATTTTATAAATTTCCAAAGGGAGGCTTCACACTTCATAGAAAGCGAAGACACCAACATGGAATGGCATCGAAAGCTTGGCCACCTAAATGAAAAAGACCTAAACAAAATGGCCAAAGACGACCTCATGTATGGTTTTGGATACAAAAATGAAAAATTAGATACGTGTGAAACCTGCATCAAGGGCAAACTATCGAGATTACCGTTTACAAGGCATGATATACGACAAGTGTTCTGGAAATTATCCATAGCGACGTTTGTGGGCCTTTTGAGTGCGAAACACTAGCGGGAAATAAATATTTTGTCACGTTTATTGATGGCTTTACGCGTTATTGTGCCGTATACTTCATTAAAAGGAACAGTAAAGTATTCAATGCATTTAAAGAATATAAAAATGAAGTTGAAACATTCCACAACAAAAAGATTATACACTTGCAAACAGACAATGGTACAGAATATCGAAACAAAGAGTTTGACGACTTTCTTAAAGCAAATGACATCAAAAGAAGGTTGACCACAACATACACGCCCCAGCAAAACGGAATCAGCGAAAGAAAGAACAGAACCTTACTAGAAAAGGCCAGATGCCTATTAATCGAAGCCAATGCTCCTAAGAAGTTGTGGGCAGAAGCAATAGCTACGGCATACTACGTCATCAATCGCAGTCCAGCTAAAGCATTAGAAGGTAACATACCCTTTACAAAATGGGTAGGACGGGCACCGTCTGGAAGGCACCTCAAAATATTCGGGAGAAAATCTTTTATTCTCAACAAAAGGAAAAATAAAGGGAAGCTTTCAAAGGTTACAAAAGAAGGACTGTTTGTGGGTTACTCAATGACTTCGAAAGCCTACAGAATATACATACCTGAAGATGACAACGTAGTGACTAGTAGAGACGTAAAGGTAATAGGCAAAATGTACTACGAAGAAATCAGAGAAAGTTATGATAATCTCGTAAATGAAGGGGAACAGCAATACAAGGTACCTGAAATGGAAAATAAGGTTAGACACAATGGAAACAAAAAATACAACAAATAGAAGTTTAGTAACAAATAGTAATTTTATGAAAATAAGAACAAGTACTTACCACAATATCAAGAAGAAATAGAATCTTACGACAGCACTTCAGATCCAGAACCTGTGGAAATTGAAACAGCAAACCATTTACGTATACCGGAGTGGACTATTTTGGGCCAATGATGGTAACCACATCATCGGGCAATAAGATTTTTTTTTTTTTATTATTTTTAATTTGGATTTGTTTATGCACCTGTCTAGCTATACGAGCAATACACATGGAAGTTGTCAAAAACTTAACTACAGATGAGTGTCTACTTGCGTTACGGAGATTTACAGCCTCAAAGGGTATACCGGAAAAAATAGTATCAGACAATGCTTTACATATTTGTTTCTTAGGTTTTCACGCACATCACTCATTAAATAAAACTAGTTTTTAGGGGTTAATGCACGAAACTTTATTTATTTATTGACGTTTCGCAGCCTTTTCAGGTCTGCATCGTCAGAATAATGATTTTAATGAACATTTAATGCTTTACAGCTTAAATTGCTAAGTGAAATTTTGTCAATCCTTTGACAAAATTTCACTTAATATATTGTATAAAAAATAATATCAAATGGAAATTCATACCACAATTAGCACCCTGGAATGGTGGATTTTACGAACGACTTGTTGCTTTGGCAAAACACTGTTTGAAACGTTCACTGGATAAACATCTACTTAATGACACTCAATTGCATACAATCATCAAAGAAATTGAAGCCGTAATCAATATGAGACCTTTAGTGAGTGTCGGTAATGAAATCGAGCATGTTCTGAAACCATGTGATTTTCTCTCTCTAGGAAGATGCCTGGAAGCTAATCTTACAACTATTAAGATCGATAGTCTGGCTGAATCATCAACAAAACGGATCTGATCCAAAGTTGGAAGAGAGGTCAAAATATGTTGAAAGAATTTAAACTGATGTTTCAAGATCAGTATCTGGCCAGTTTAAGAGAAAGATATCGCCATTCAGTTAAACAACTTAGGATTAGATCAAACAAAGAACCAGCTACAGGAGATATTGTACAGATTAAAGATGACTCAAAAAACAGAATCAACTGGAGAGTAGGCAAGATCACTGCTTTGATAAGAGGAAATGATGGACTTTGCAGAGTTGCCAAAGTAAAAACAAACAAAATAGAGCTAATCAGATCTATTGCTCATTTGTACCCCCTAGAGGTGGAAGATGATGTGGAAGAGAATAATCAGCGAGATGCTGTTATTGACTCCAAGCATAAAAGTGCAGATAGGAATGTCTCACACGAAATTAAAGAGTTCTATGTACCTAAGATTGATTGTAAATCATCAGAGACAGCGATAGATGTTGAAGAGAGCAGAGACATAGTAGAGAACGCAGATACTTATAGTGATGAATCAAATATTAACATAGACAAAGAGACTACTGATGAGCACAATATAAGAAAGGATGAAACACTTGCCGGGCAGTCTGATAAAGAGAAACCAAGACGAGTTGCCGCAATCCGAGCTCTGGAAAAAATTAAAGAGTGGACGAGCGGCCTGATGATTAATCTCCTTTGATTTATCATCAAGTTGCCCGGTGGGAGTGTCGCGACGGGCAAACGTGACCAAGTCGCGAAATGTAAATATTGGATATGGCAACAAAATCCTGTAATCTGTGGTGAGTAACATTAACCGCTTTTAATACTTAATCTGTGGTCCGTAGCTCCGCGGTTTTTTACCTGTCAGAAAAGTTTTCTTTTCCTGTTCAACTCCGGCTGAAATGTGTGCTGCTTGCGAGATTCTGGATATGAGAGATAAGTATCATCCCCGAGTCAATTAATTACTATTTATGGTCCATATGATTTCACGTGTCGATTGGTAGGTCAAAAAAGGGACTTACCTATATTAAGAGCAGTACATTCGTAACATTGATTGGCGATTGTACTGGCGAACGCTTGCGGGCGTTGCGCGGGATGATGTTAGCCAGAGGAATGGCTTACCTATGATACGAGCAGTACAATTATAACATGGATTGGCAATTGTACTGGCGAACACTTGCGGGTGTTGCGCGGGATGTTAGTCTAGTGCACTTGACTGAACAAGGGAGGACAAAGAGAGTGTGTGCGAGGGTTGCTTGACACACCTTGGCTCCACGATGAACAAGGGAGGCCAAAGAGAGTGTTTGCGAGGGTTGCCTGACACACCTTGGCTCCACGATGAACAAGGGAGGCCAAAGAGAGTGTGTGCGAGGGTTGCTTGACACACCTTGGCTCCACGATGAACAAGGGAGGCCAAAGAGAGTGTGTGCGAGGGTTGCTTGACACACCTTGGCTCCACGATGAACAAGGGAGGCCAAAGAGAGTGTGTGCGAGGGTTGCTTGACACACCTTGGCTCCACGATGAACAAGGGAGGCCAAAGAGAGTGTGTGCGAGGGTTGCTTGACACACCTTGGCTCCACGATGAACAAGGGAGGCCAAAATGAGTGTGTGCGAGGGTTGCTTGACACACCTTGGCTTCCTGATCAAAGGCTTATGATAATCAAACAGGATACGCTGAAAGTGTCCTATGCCAATCATGAAATGTTATGTAAAATGAGTAGAAAATCGACGTGAATGTATATGAGAATATTGATGTGTGTGTACATATAATGTATAGGTATTAATCATGGCGAGGAAGATGCTTAGTGTCTCAACTCTTGAGATTCATGGTATAATTTCTCTATACAGGTTCCTTGATGATATTGACAAATGACGATGGGAATAAATTGAAATAAGCGAAGCAGATATCTATAGCAAATTTAACACAAGACAGAATAAGGTATGAAACATTAATATAACTTGCACTAGTATAGTAACACGTTAAATTGTTCAATGCCGAAAGTATGAATATTCGCGGTCTGTCTCAGTCCATTGTACTCCCTGTTGGTGTGGGTTGTAGGCAGGGGATGAGACATGTGAGGTTCTGTGTGGTTTCGGGTTGAACCTTTAAAGAATGTGGCAGTATTTGGTAGTAGTTAATATACTTCATTGCACTAGGTATAAAGATAGAATAAGACAACCACACAGAATGCCCACAGAGTCTCTGCGCGACGAAGGGGTTTTAATAATAATTTACCAGATTTAAAAATAACTCGGGAATATTGAATAATTAGATTGAAATGAGTCAACGAAGGTCACGAATTTCTATTTAATGTAACTGCATATAATATTTGCATACTATTTTTTACTAAAGGTTTAATTAAATATTGTTTTTTTTTTGTTGCGTAATATTATAAATTGTTCATCTTGGATTTGCTTTCAGAGTAGCTTTAACGTACAAACTAATTCATAGATAAACTTTCAAGTCTAATGATATTAACGTCAAAGAGTTCATATTATTAGTGTTGTCAAAAAGTTTGTTAAACAGAAATTGCTAACTTATATTATAATTGAATGAGTCTAAAAAAATAGCTAATATCAGTAACTGACCTGCTGGGACCTGCCGGCCTATTCGCTAACTTTTTTTTACATTTACACCCTTATTAATAAACAAAGAATAAGCTTTTAAACTAGTTACGCCGTGTTTTGTTCATGTCACTCAAGTGCCATTTGTCATTGAAAAGACAGAGACAAAGCATGGACAAGCTATTCCAAGCGTAGTCTTCGTTTATTAATACGGGTAAGTTTTGGGGGCAAGGCAAAATGTCTTTCTGGTAACACTGACGGAAAGTGTCTTTTTGAGGTAGGCATATAGACAATGGTGTCGATTCTGGCACGATTCTCTAAATCTAAACTTAAACTTGACAACAGTGTTTCCTTGTCATTCTCTATACAGAATGAAAAAGAGAGACTGATAATAAATTTAGTTTTAAGTTTAGAGAATCACGCCAGAATCGACACCTATGTATCCATTGCTAATAAATTAAAAAAAAAGTGTCAATTTGAAATTTATTGTCTGTTATCTGTGGCGAGATGGGAATAATATTTCAGTCTATCTGATTAATTAAATAAAGTTTTAAACTGTATACAATAGACATTTAATTTACAAAAGCGTCATTATAACAAAACTAGTGACTATCTTAATAAATCATTGAATAACCTGCAAAACATTTATTATTTCTAGTGGGTGCCTATCTGATGTGGCCCAATCATGTTACAGTACATAGACTCATTTGTAAAGTGCAATTTGAACTATTAGTTTCACTTCTTCGATAATCATTTGAAGCCAGCCGTATTTTCTTTTTACTATGGCTTATCAAACTTTGCTCCAAGAGTACATGCTTATTCCTCCTGTAACTCGAGCATATACCACTGCTTGTGTTGTCACAACATTGGCTGTGGTAAGCAATTTATGTACCTCATCATCTTATTTTTATCAAAGTTTAAAAAGTGAAATAAAACTTTATTGTGTTATTTGTTTCAGCAACTAGACCTAGTGTCACCATTTCAATTATACTTTAATCCTATTCTAATTCTCAAAAGATATGAATTATGGAGACTCATAACAACATTTTTATTCTTTGGAAATTTAGGATTCAATTTCTTTTTTAACATGGTATTTACATATAGATACTGCAGAATGCTTGAAGAGGGATCATTTAGAGGCAGAACTGCAGATTTTATTGTTATGTTTGTTTTTGGAGGTGTCTTGATGATTGTATCCTTTGTAAAGTTTTAGTAATCACCTTAGCTTTACACTATGTGCAGTGGAATGGAGCTGTTTGCAATAAAAATATTTTTTGGGATCAATAGAGATTGGTTAATTGGTGGTACATTTACCTAAAGTTAGTTTTGTGATTAACAAATTATGTAAGAGAATTCTTAGGATATTATTATTAAAAATAAAATCCTGAAATTTTGAGATTACACCACAACTAATTGTACCACTAGAAAGAACCAATAATGAAATCGAATAGTTTGTGGGTGTGAAATGTCATTGACAAATGTGTGCAGATTTTTAGTTCTCCTTGCGTCCGTTATGGCACTGCTGTTCCAAGTTTCCATACAAAATTTTACAATGGCATTTCGCACTCTCAAATTATTCAATAATGGTTCATGTTAGGTGTACTGATATAAATTTTCTAAAAGTTAAATTTTAATTTTCTTTGGAGTATGTGTGTATGTAAGATGGTTTGGTTAATAAGAAAAGTTAAATAAATATAAATTTATTTACTCATTAAGGACATCTTACACAATATTTTTATGTTAAACACACAGGGAAACTCGTTTGAGTGATGTAGATTTATTAGTTCTCACAGAGAATACACTCAAAATTTAAATATTTCAATAAAAAAGTACTTTCCATAATACTCAACTTTAGATAAATATGCATCAGACTATCTGATCTCCAGTGATCAATGATATTCACCAGAAAATAATTTTTAATAAATAATGTTCCTTAGCTAATTTATACAGATGTGTGCTTTCTTCGTTAATTTATTATTTTTAGGTCAAGCATTTACTATTATGATTGTTTATGTGTGGTCGAGGCGCAATGTGTTTGTGCGCATGAACTTCTTTGGACTAATGAATTTTCAGGTATTCTTACTTAAAAGTTGATATTTATATTTACTTTCTATAATGAAATATATCTCAAATTCTAAACTGTGTATATTTTTATCAGGCTCCATACCTACCATGGGTGTTACTGGGATTTTCAGTCTTACTTGGCAATGCAATATCTGTTGACCTAGTTGGGATGGCTATTGGGCACATTTATTTCTTTATGGAGGATGTATTACCTCGTCAAAGAGGAGGTCAAAAGTTTCTTAAGACACCAAAATTTCTGTAAGTTTTTTCAATTGCTGCTAATTAAAACTGTATTTATGAAAGGAAATAAAAATAATACATTTTTTTAGGAAAAAGCTTTTTGATACCCAAGAACCAGAATACGAACCATTACCAGAACTAGACAACATTCGCCCAGGGGGATTTGATTGGCGTCGTCGTCCAAATGAACGTGATAATGATGAAAATGACAGATAAAAGTAATCAAGTACCAAAATTAGATTATAAATATGAAAGCCAAAATATCTGTAAAACTATTTTAAATATTTATTTGTTTAAGACATGAATACTTTTATATTTTCTGTATTTAAGTGAAAGAATTGCACAAAACGTAATAATGGCAAGTGTTTTTTTTTATCAACTTTTAATATGAGGGATGGTAAAAAAATGTGCATAATAATATGAACTGAACTGTTTATTTGTTGTAATCATCTGCTTCTTTTGATTCTGTTAATGTGACAAATATAATTATTATTAATTAATTTCTGGTTCTTTCTTGTCTATTTATAATTTAACAAGGTATCCTATGTTAACATTACAGAAAAACATGTTTTGTTCATTATTATTTATTTGTAATTTTCCACACAAAGTACTTGGGAGTAATAATTTAAATTGTCGTTATTAAGCAGTACCCAAAAATTTTTATCAAACAATCAATACCACCAACATAAAGCCAGAAAGATATTAACGTGTCGTGGCGTGACGTAGCTCATTGGTTTCATACATTTATTATGGGTTAGAGAGAGATAGAGAGGTTAAAGCGTCGACACGACACGACACGATACGTAAATATGTCTCTAACCATAGTAAATGTATGAAACCGATGTGCTTCTGGTGCGCCACGACACGTTAATATGTTTCTGGCTTAACTGTTAATAACATAATCATTAATGTATCACATTAAAATGTATAGTTGCAATCTTACAAGAAATAGAATTAATGTACTCCAACACTGTTTTTTGGCTACAGATGACAAAAACAATTGTTACTAAGCTATTTAAAGAATTTCAATTCTTTTAATACCAATCGCAACTTCTTACCACTGAAACTTTCGCATTTCTGTACAGTGATTATATTATAGCCTAGGTTAGCAAAAAATCGATGCTGCTATTTGCAAGTAACTTGAAAGGGCTGTGTAGATATTTTATTAAAATAGCATCAAGGTATGCAAATAAAACGGTTGTTTGAAAAACTTGTTTCATTTCAAGCTTGAACCTAAACTTCATATGATATCAACATTACATTAGGTGGCAGGAGTAAATTTCTTACAAATACAGGTTGTTATTATACCAACAGTGCGTTATTATTTACTCAGATAGGTATTTTTTCAGTAAAGTGAGAATGGTTTACAACGAGATGGTTTCTTCTCGCGCCGGTACACCAGGCCTGTGCCGGGCTAAACTTATTTACGAGCACGTTAACGAACGTCCATAGTGTCACGGTAATAATATCATACAGTATTCTATCTTCATACAAACGGTCGGAAAGCGAGTCATACCTACGCCACTCGAGTTCGATGTGCTCTCGGCGGGCACCCAGTCGCGAATGCGCCGCCGCGCCGCAACGACGACCGAACGGTCTGAATTGTTTTTTATGCAGTTAGCCGTGCTTAAACGTGCGTTTTGTATTGTAAATATTTGATTTAATTAAGTAGATACCTACATAATTTAGTATGGAAAAGAACAAACGACGATCAATATCGTACAACAGCACAATTGCTGTTCTTGGTTGCTTGAACTCTTCAATAACACACCCAGAGATATCATTTTTTAAATTACCTGAAATATTGGAAAGGTGTCCTACCTTTATAGAATATTTTTCATATAGCTATCTACTAGTACGTTATTTGTTTTTAATATTTTGGTATTTCGGTTTTCCATCGGGCAAAATATCTGTAATAATATATAAATAAGTGGTTAGGATGAAAAACGAGACAAACGAGTAATCTACCTACACTCGCGTTAAAAACAAAACTACATAAAATACTGTAGGCTGGCGCGGCGGCCCTACCGCGTGCCAACGCAGCGCTCTGTCGTAGGCATTTATTTTCAAGGACAGGGCGGACTCACAATACTGTATAGATAATACCGTGATAGTACATACCTACATAACTAAGGACTGGACGTACATACGGTTGAAAATCGTGCCTAGACCCGGCGCATAGTGGGCGGAAACGATCAAAACTACGCGCGAGGCAGTAAATCTAATCCAAAGTAAATATTTTTGAATACTCGTAATTATGACTGCTTTCTTGTAGCACTGCGGAAATTCACTTTTTAGGGTTCTTTCAATTTATGCGTTTCTTGACGGCCTGCTGCGGTGCCGAAGCGGTGCGTTTGTCGTACAGCGTACGGACGATCCTTTTTTATTACATACAAAACGCGCGGTGCGGCAACAGTGCGGCGGTACCGCGAACGCTCGACAACAGGATTACAGGACTGTTGCCGCACCGCGCGTTTTGTATGAAAAAAAGGATCGTCCGTACGCTGTACGACAAACGCACCGCTTCGGCACCGCAGCAGGCCGTCAAGAAACGCATAAATTGAAAGAGCCCTTAGAGGTAGAAACCACCCCTATAAACCCCTAAGCAGGCTAAACCATCAGATTCTGGGTAAAACTAGTTCGATCAACTACATATTTATAAGGAAATATATATTTTATACACATATAGGCTATTATATGAATTTCCACAGTGTTACAAGAAAGCAGACATAATTATGAGTATTTAAAATCAAAAAATCATTTGGATTAGATTTACTGCCTCGGGCGTAGTTTTGACTGTGTGGCAGAAAGCCGTCTCGTTAACAAGCTGTTTAAGTGGACCTGCATTATTCTGAAAATTGAAGAAAGTATATAATGATTGTAATCAATTCATGGATTACCTATCTTGTTATTCTGATTAAATCACAATAAGAGTGTAATAGATATTGAATTGTCATATGATACTAATATGGAAGCATAATTTCGTATGCAATGAAACTATGCTATACTGAAGTTACATAGGTATTAACACAAGGTATACTTGTTAAGTGGTGTTTTAGTGGGCAGGCCCCCTACAAGGGGGACGACGATCTTGTGAAGGTCGCGGGAAGCCGATGGATGCGAGTAGTGCAGGACCGATCAGTGTGACGATCCTTGGGAGAGGCCTATGGTTCAGCAGTCGGTGTCGTACGGCTGACATGATGAAGATGATACTTGTTAAGCTTAAATATTGTCCAATGTAATTCTGTACCAAATATGATATTATGGAATTCGGTGTACGATACGGTATGTATGAACGGTAAACGTACATTATGTCTAAAATAATTCTCGTGAATAAATCATTCATTTAGAAAACTAATTTATAATATTAAGTGCTGTTAGATTATATTTAATATTTAGGGTCATATTTTTTACTGGTTCATAAATGCTTTCAAACTGTTAGTTATATTCACAAAAAGAAACAAAAAATATTGTAAACGAGTCTTTTTTTTTCAGATTTAGCAGACAGAAGAGTAATAGATCCATAGACAATAGAAAGAAATGTTATTATAAAATGTAACTTAAGCCTTGAACAATATAGGTACTTACTTACATTTTTTTCTCAATAATTTATACAAAATGATAATATTTCAGAAAAAATTGCCTTCAATCAATATATGCCTGTGTAAGGCCTTATTCTATAGTAACAACAAGAACCATAAAACTAGTAATGTCAGTCTTCATACAAGCATTCACAAATTATTATACATTCAACTCCTACTTTTATAATAAGGGTCAGGGGGGTTTAATTTTATATCTTGTTTTTCCCTACGAAGCTTAAGAAAAATGTCAATGTGAATTAACACACTAATATGTATCTCTTTCCGGACTGTACAATGAAAGCGCGTAAAAGTTACACAATTTAGCCCCAGATTTTCAGTAAAAGGTCATGTGAATCCAAACGCTTTTTTAAAATAAAGTATAAAATTAAAATCAGATGTATTTCTTGCATTCTTTCTTTTCTAGAGTAATAATTTATTTTCACTTTAAAAATTATAATATACTTAAGTGAAATCTGTAAGTTGGTTTGGTGAATTTTGTAAACAGTTGTGTACGAGCCCTTGTCAACTCAGTACATTGAATTGCTATTTCTTGATATTGAAGACAGGAAAACACTTGATAAACTTGACGAAAATATTTATTATTAAACTTGATGTAACTGTGTGCACACTGCTTGAGACAAACGCGAACTAACTTGGGCGTGATTATGAAATGTATTTAAACGGTAAAATATTGACCTAAACAATTAAATGCTTTGCTTGCAAAATGTACGATTTGATCGTACATATTCCAGGGCGCGAGATGAAAACAGGACATAACGGACCCAGTCAATGTTGTCACACAATTACTGAAATGTTACATTGATATAAAATAAATTACAATAACTGATATAAGAAATAAATCATGATTAAATAAATTTTATAATTCAAAAATGGCGCGGTTTCCTTGTTGTCGTGGAGCACGTTGTCGGGAGACACGCGGGACGGCGTAGGAGGGCGCGGGCGCGGGTGCAGGCGCAGCGACGATGTCTCGGGGCGCGTCGGCCGGCGTCGGTTCAGCGTCGGTGTCGATCGCACGCGGCACTCGCCAGGCGCAGCGGGAAACTTGAATTTCCGAACCGCATACGTTAATGCGGCGATACCAATCACAGCCACTATTCCGTAAATCATGGTGTAGTGGTGGATATCATGAAGTGATACTTCTTCCATCGATATATTCGACTCTTTGAGCTCTTGTATGTCTGTTTGCACTTGTTGCAATTCTTGATGAAGTGACTCATTTTTCAAAGTGAAGTTCGCCAGTGACAAGTTGATGATATTATTTATCGGGGCCAGCTCTAAATTGTAAATATCGGGAACCACCTTCGTTTCACTGTAAGCTCCTTTATGCGAAGAAACCGTAAAATCATCAGTCTTGAAAATGCATCCCTGACCTATATGTACAAGGCCGGCCTCTAACAGCTGATGTCCCGTCATATGATCTTCGCACATAGCGCGAACTTGACACCGTCCGCAGCAAAAATATATAAATGTATTTGTAGAGTGACTTTCTTGCCAATAATTATTGCATGTTGTTATTGTGGTCTTGCATTGTGATTTTTCTATTTCGCAGAAATTCTTATCATCTCTTAATTGATAAATAGGCTTCTGCACGTGACATAAATAGTAATCCGTGGTTATAATGCATGACCGTATGTCCCAATTAGACATAAGCATGTAGGCATCCTTCTTAATGTTAATGGCAATATAGTCCGATACTGGAATGATGCTGACCATATTATTACCAACTTGTTTTGGTATAGCACTCATCTTCATAAGTTCGTATGAGTCACGGCCGATAAGGGGTATCTTTATCTCAAATATAAGTATATTTTCTAACATCCTTGTTTTTACTTGAAGTAAGTTATAAATTTTTCGCAGCTCCGTATGTATATTGTCGATAGGTAAAGATACGTCTTTCGGTAACTTGCTTGCGATGTTACTCAATTCGTTCGTAAGTTGCTCTGGAGTAAGCAAATGTAAGTTGAATCGGCCATGGTATATATCGGTAACTGTATCTAATAAAGTGTTTTGAATGCCTTTCAACACTTGTAACATATTATTTGCAATAATAGCTCCCGTATTAAAATCGCTCATTATGTAACTTGTCTCTATGTTTCCTTTCAACTTGTTTAGGGCTGTGTCCAGGTCAATCATGTGTTTGTTTATCAACTTGTATTGTTTATTCATTATGTCTTCGGTTCGTTTTAATAAGTTAAATTCGGCCTCAATAACTGATGTTTGATTTCTCCAAAGTAATGATAAGTGTTTTTGGTTTTCTTGTACCATGCGGATGTCCTTTTCATATTTTTCAGCAAAACGTTCATCCAACACGCCGAACAGGCTATTAGCTACATAGCCGACACCGTTGATAAGGCCTCGCCGGCGCCGACGCAGTCTCGCAGGGCGCGTGCTCGCATGCTGGTTCAGCAACATATGATCGTAGTATTCCAATTCCGAGAAGCCGTGTTGTAATTGCATTAGTATTATGTCGCAGTGTGATTGTTTCTTGATATTAGCACATGTTTGGCTCAATGTTTGTATATATCGATTGAATGAATTAACGCCTTGCCAGTAGGGTTCCATGTTATAATAAACAACTAATTTCCAGTCATCCTTGATCACCATCATGTCGGATATTTTATCAAAAAATAGGCTTTGATTTGATGGAAATTGTTTGATATTGACTTGAGCTTCTGAACTTGATAAGAATGTGAAAAATAGTAGTAGAGCGGTAAAGAAAGACATCAGGTTGTAGGTGCTTCTTTGTGTTTTGTATTTTTCCTCTCCAGTCCGTTGCTTTGTTTTTTCCACTTGTCTTGCATGGTGGCTGGAAAGATCTTGATTATTTTCATGTTCCAATAATAATGACAGCTTAACGACAGGACGCTTGATTACACCGCTCTTGGTTTTCAAGGTCACGACCCGAACAAATCCGTCCTTGCCTGGATGCAGTTCCGTGACCCTGCCCATTGCCCACTTGCCAGGCGGCAGGTTACCATCGTGAATTAGCACCACGTCATCTAAATTAATATTTCTTTGAGGCTGCTTCCACTTGCTTCTTTTATTTAATTCTGTCAAATATTCCATTCGCCATCGTTTCCAAATATCTTGTAATATTTTTTGAGTTAGATGCCATCTAGTCCGTAAGTCATATTCAGTTTCTATTAGTGTCAAAGTAGGACCCCCTGTCAAAAAGTGTGAAGGTGTTATATAATCCAAATCTGCTGGGTCTTCCGACATTGCACAGAGTGGCCTGGAGTTTAGACATGCTTCTATCTGGCTGAGTAGAGTCGTCAGCTCTTCGAAGGTGAGCTTTTGATCACCAATCACCCTCTTGAAATGAAATTTAAAACTCTTTACCGCAGCCTCCCATAATCCTCCTGCTGAAGGCCATGATGGAGCGTTGAAATGCCAGGTAATCTCCATATTGGCTATCTCTGCCAAAAACTCGTCATTGATTATGTGTTGTAAATCTTGATAAGCTTGCTGTAATACGTTGCTTGCACCAACGAAGTTTCGACCGTTGTCGCTGTAGAAGTGGCTGGGAGTGCCTCTTCGCGCTGCCATTCTTCGTACAGCTGCTAGGAGTGTTGAAGTCGTCAAGTCCGAAACTAGTTCGAGGTGGACAGCCTTCGTCACCATGCAAACAAAGACTGCTACATAACCCTTGCTGGTTTTAATCCCCCGACCTTTGTTACTCTTGACGTCAACATGACCCGTGAAATCTATCCCTGTATGCTCGAAGGGGCGTGATTGGTTTACCCTTGCTTCTGGTAGATCTCCCATTATTTGATAACGTCCTTCTGGTTTTTGGCGCTTACATGTGACACAACGCCGTAATAACTGTTTTGTTATACTATTTCCGCCAACTATCCAAAACTTGTTACGTATGAAGGCCAATGTAACACGAGCTCCGCCGTGATATGTAAGCTTGTGTGCAAAATATATTAATAATTCTGTGAAACGATGGTTCCGTGGCAAAATAATGGGATGTCTCATGTCATGGTGAATATGAGCGTTCTTCAGTCTTCCCCCCACTCTTAAAATACCTTGCGAGTCGAGATAAGGATTAAGACTTATGATCTTGCTCTGGCTTCTTACGCAGTTGATTTTTCGTAGCGTATCTATGTCTTCTTTATATGCTGTTTCTTGTACATACTTTACAAGCGTTGCTTTTGCAAGTGCTAACTCCGGTAAAGTAATATAAGGCAACTTTACTTGTTTTCTTGTTATAAATCTGCGTACCCATGCCAATACGCGTATGAGTTTAGTAAATGAATTGCAACGATTTAGTAGGGTGTCCATGATATTGTCTCTTGTTTCTTGCGAATGTGCTATTATACTATTGACTTGCTTTGGAGATCTGATTTCTTCCGTTGTTTTGAATTCCAATTTCGGTTTTTCTTCCATTTTTAAAGACAATTGATGAGGTCCGTTCCACCAAAGTTGATGTACCGCTAATTGAGAGGGTAACATGCCTCTGCTTGTGCAATCAGCTGGATTTTCGCTTGATTTTATGTAGCGCCAACAGGTTGCGGGAATTATCTCTGTAATTGACTTAACTCTGTTCGCAACAAAAACTTTCCACTTGTCCGGATTTCCTTGTAGCCACCCTAGTACTGAAGTCGAATCGGTCCAGCCATACACCTTGATGTGATGAGTATTCAAGCTATTCTTCACTTTGTTCATCAATTTTGCAAGAAGATGAGCTCCGCTTAATTCCAGCTTCGGTAAAGTAATATTTTTGTTGTAAGGAACTAATTTCGATTTTCCCACAAGTAAGTTGATGTTGTGTTGTCCACAGTACTCTGTTTTGCAATAAATGACGCATCCGTATGCTTTTTGCGACGCATCAGAATAGCCATGGAGTTCGATATTACTTGTGGCTCCCGTGTTGATCCATCTTGGTATTTTAAATGTGTTTATGATGTTAATCTCTTGCTTGATTTTGAGCCACTCTTTACTGACGTCATCGGGGAGCATGTCATCCCATTGCAGATTAATCTTCCATACCGATTGAAAAAGTAATTTTAGCTTTGTAGAAATCGGAGTCAGCCAGCCGAGAGGGTCGAATAATTTCGATATTTCTGATAGTAATTTCCTTTTAGTGGCAGAGGGTTCCGTAGAGTTAATTTTACATTGAAAGAAAAATTGATCTTGTTTTGGATCCCAGTGTAGTCCGAGCGTCTTGGTAGATGTTGGTTTCTTGAAATTGTATTGATCTGCAGATTGGTTTTCAGGGTTAAAGTCTTGTAATATACTCGTAGAGTTTGACATCCATTTTCGTAAGTTGAATCCTCCTGCTCTCAATAATTTTATAAGTTGCTCTTGTAATCTTGTAGCTTTTTCCACACTTGTGCAGCCGTGTAGCAGATCATCCATGTAGAAACAGTCTTCAACAGCCGTAGCTGCTTCAGGGTAGGTATTTTTCTCGTCTTGGGCCAACCTTCTCAACGTCATCATTGCCAAAAATGGGGCGGCCTTGGTGCCATAAGTGACAGTTGCGAGTTGGAATTCTTGAAGTGCTTGGTTAGGATGGTCTCGCCAGAAAATTTTTTGCAAGTGCTGGTCGTTCTCATGTACCCAAATTTGACGGTACATCTTCTCTATGTCGGCTATGAATGCAATGCGATGCTGCCTCCATTTCAAAATAAGTAACATAAGGTCATTTTGAAGATTCGGTCCCTTGTACATAAAATCATTAAGGCTTGTTCCATTGGATGTTGTTTGCGATGCATTGAAGACAACTCGAAGAGCCGTAGTACTTGAGTCTTCTTTTAGCACGCAATGGTGAGGCATATAATATTCCGGTTTCTTGTTACGAGTTACCGGTTTCATATGACCAAGTGCAATGTACTCGTTGATAAACAACTTGTATTGTGTTGCAATTGAATTATTTTTAAATAATTTCTTTTCTAATTGTTGAAATTGTGCAATAGCTCTATTTTTAGACTGGCCGATTTCTGTGGCATATGATGTTTTAAGGGGAAGTCGTACTTGGTATCTTCCATCTTGTAATCTTGTCGTTGTGGCGTGTGTGTAGACTGTGTGTCTTGCCACACAAAATCCAACCGAGTTTTGTTTGTTGAATAACCGGCGTATATTCCTGTTTAATGAGACCATCCAAAATAATGTTTGCGTAAATATCGGCTCCCAGTAATAAATCGATTTGTTGGCTTATGTAAAATTCTGGATCAGCGAGTTCTAGGTTTTCTATAATTTGCCATGATGGTTTCGGGAATGAACAGGTAGGTAGATTTCTTGTTAAGTTTTTCATTATATAAACATCTAAGTTGAAGGTATGTCCTCCCCTTAAGGACGTGCAATTGATTTTTGCCATTCCTTTACAGACGTTGTCTTTAGTGCCAATTCCTGTTATAACTCCACTGTATTTGAAGCGATGTAATTTTAGAGTTTGTGCAGCATGTTCTGTTATTAGGGAAACTTGAGATCCCTGGTCAATAAGAGCACGCATGATCCTGAATATTCCATCTGATCCTTGAACTCTTATCTTGGCCGTGGCGAGTAAGACTTCTGACCTTTCACGTTGTTGAGCCACGTGAGTCGCGCTTGTTCGCTGAGCTTGCTCCTTTGGCGTAAATTGGGTTCTTGCTGACGCTTGACTTGTAAATGCGTTGTGAAGGAGTGTATTGTGACATCCATTGCACGTTTTACATCTTTTGTTGGAGTTGCAACTTTTTTCTTCGTGTTTGTAGAGACAATTGGTACAAAGTTTTAGTTTCCCAATTGTATTTATTTTCGTTGCAGGCGACATATCCAGGAACTGTTGACAGAAGTATATCCCGTGATCACCTTTGCATATAGGGCATTGGATCTTGTTTCCTTGAGACCACGCGTTGGTTGTTGTTTTGTTGCTTAAATAATAATTCTTGGTTTGTTGTTGCGGTCTGTAGGGACGGCTATTTCCAGATGTTGTTGGTATACTGTAACTTGACCTCTGTATTGCGTTATCTTGCTTGCGTCTTGATGCTTCTAAAGCTGTAAACTTGCCTTCAAGGAACCCCAAAAATTCTTTTAATGATGGTAATTCCCGTGGTAAGGTCAATGATTCCAAATAATCATTATGGGTCTCGGCGTCTAGTTTCTGTGCCAATAGGTGTACTAAGATGGGATCCCAGGTGGTTATATCAACCCCTAAGTTCTTAATACCGTTGAGACATTCTTGGGTTACGTCGTGAATGCGTTTAATTAGACTTGTTGTGGCTTGTTGCATCACTGGAAGTGTCAATAAAGTATTCATATGCGTAGTGAAAATTAGTTTTTTGTTATTATAACGGTGGTTCAGTATATCCCAACACGCTATATAATTATCAGAGCTGATAGTCAGGTGCTGTATTAAGCGTTCTGGTTCCCCTTTTATCTTGCTTTTGAGAAACTGCATTTTTTGAGCATTAGATAAGCATGGGTTGTCGTGTATTGCTTCCGAAAATAAGTCCTTGAACGACACCCATTGTTGGTAATTTCCATTGAATTCCGGAATATCAAGTTTGGGTGTAGATTTCTCTCGATGGAATACCGCCCATAATTTGCTATTAATCTCTTTCTTGATGCGAATATAATCGGCCTCATGTTGGGTAAAGAAATTATCATAATATTTGTCATTTTTTCCGTCGCCCAGTTCACTGTCGATTTCCCAATGAAGTTTGTCGATCGCCAGCCATCTCATCTCAATATTTTTCAACACATCTTCGAACTCCCACTTCTCTTTAATATTATCAATTTCAATATGAGATAAAGTGCGTGAAAAAGCTTTGAAATTGGTTAATTGTTTCCTGAGAAGCAGTTCTACTTTTTCACTCTTGTTTCTGGATCCTGATGAACTATCTTGATCAATTTGCTCGTGCCAAATTTCTTTCAGGTCTTCCTTGCTAGTACTTGCCCCAAACTGTTCTTCGTTAGGAATAAAACTTTTTAGAGATTTTCGTATTTCTTCACAAAATTTTTTCGTCTCTCCATAGTGATCTTGAAGGAAGTATTCATCATTGCTGTCGTTGAAACTTAGAATCAGTGCATGATTTTCCGAAAACTCAGTCCAGTTCGATTCTAGAAGTTCTAGCTTATTCTTGATATACACAGGCGTTTTACGTATCTTGCTATCTTTCTTGAAATTAGTCCAAAGTTGTTGTATAGTAGACATGATAATATTCTGCTTCTCAATTAAACTTTCCATCTTGAAAACTTGATAATTTCCTGTCTTGATAGTGTCTTGATTTGAATGAGTTCTTACGTTTGTCGATTTCTTGCTCGAATATTCTTCTTGATAGTAAAAAACAATATATATATAGGTACCTACTTGATATTATGCTTGAATGCTTGTTGTATTGATTTCACTCGTCAGTGAAAAAATATTCAGCCTTCGTCTTGATGAAGGAAAATTCTTGCTGATAATAATAATGGTTTTGACTCGCTTGTTCTTGTTCTTCAGTATTTCCTCAGACTCCGCGTGATCTTATGCGCCTTCTCAACTCGGTCGGTGAGACCCGCTTGTGGGAGGCCGACGAGCCGATTCGCAACCACACGAAACCACGAAAAAACACTGAAAACCTCTCGAAGGACCACTAATGTACGAGCCCTTGTCAACTCAGTACATTGAATTGCTATTTCTTGATATTGAAGACAGGAAAACACTTGATAAACTTGACGAAAATATTTATTATTAAACTTGATGTAACTGTGTGCACACTGCTTGAGACAAACGCGAACTAACTTGGGCGTGATTATGAAATGTATTTAAACGGTAAAATATTGACCTAAACAATTAAATGCTTTGCTTGCAAAATGTACGATTTGATCGTACAAGTTGTCTTATCTTAATAGGTACTACAAAATAGACTGCGTTGTACTTTAATTAGGCAATTATGTTTGTCATTTTCTTAAACTTGCGTTCAATACCTAACTTTTTTGAAGAACTGCTAAAAGGTTTTTCGAAATTATCAATGCAAGGTATATTTTAACATACTCTTGCGTCGTAAAAACTCTGTTGATAATAATTTATAAATATATTTTCAGAAAAAATATTAGGACACGAATCTCATATTTTATGCATTATGTTATCAAAGCATCATAACTTACTTTTTCTCGACTAGCAACATAACAGCAATTTGAAAAACGATTTCTTTAAAAATATGTTTATCATTTCTAATCACCATATTACATTTCCCCCCGTCCACTAGGCCCCCATTTCTCTGAAGAAACAGTAAATAAAATTAACTATAGGGAACAAAACAATACATTTATCAATCATACATATAAAATGACATGCGTATATAACAAAGCATACAACTCAGTAACACTGTGACTAGTGTGTACTATCCCGTCATTAAGTAAGCAAATTTTGGAATTGAGTTATCAGATCTTACTGCGTACTTATTTAATCAAGCAGGTACGGAAAATATTATTTGTGAATAAACGGCTGAAATACAATAACTTCGATATTGGATGTGACTCATTTATTAAGTTTTTGGCGTTATTTAAAATCACAAAAAAATATTAAAATTGCAAGTGTCTTGTTCAAAAGATGTCTCTAAAACTAAAATCTACCTAAATCACATGGACACATTTTCATAGCGCTACTATAGCTAGTAGCACCGTTATGTCGTCTGGTTTTCCACCTGTGAACAAAAGAATTTTAATATTAAAAACAATCGATAAACTCAAAAAAAGGAAAATACTACAAGCAAGATCAATAAATATGTGCGTCTTTAACCAATAGGAATATTACGAGCGTGCTAATTGTTAAATAATCTGCGTGATTGACGTGATGTGTGCGGGGATCCCCAGATATTTCCAGTAACTCAACAAAGGGTTAGAGTAATTGAGGCCATGAGAACTAACTATGTTGCCTAACTCATTTTTTTACAATATTGAGTTTATGATTTTTTTCCTGTTCAAATTGATCATTTTTATAGAACCAGTGTGGTCTAAAAGTGATACAACGCATATTCACTAGATGGCAGCATAATCACTGTTACGGTTTTTAGTCTGTGATCTAAATTTGAGGTGCCATACTGGCCTAAGTAAGATAGGCCACCATGGTTAAAAAAATGAGTTAGGCCACTATGGTTCTCACATGGCCTCAATTAACAGAGGTGAATTCTAACCGATGGCATCTATGCCGTTCTGTCTCGCACTCTTGGCGAACGGCGACATGTAGCAGCCGTCGAAGGAGAGGTTGCGCGCCATCCAGGCGATCGAATTGGCAACGGCCTGCAGCTGCTGCGAGTCGCCGGCGAGCCCCTGCGCGCGCCGCATCTCCGCCACCAGCACCGGCTCGGGCACGTTATCGAACACGCCGTCTGTCGCCACCAGGATGACGTCACCGCACTCCACGGCGAACTCGGATGTCTCCGCCGATTCCGGCCTAAAACAATATTAATTAGAATTTGGTTAGAACACCTTCGATTAACAATACCTACTTGTTGATGCTAACTTGCAGGCAATTTAAACATTATCTAGGTATTGTATAGAATGCGGGCGGCGGACAGGGTGGTCCGTCACCCGCATTGCACAGTCTCACCCGTCGAGGGGGGATGCCTGGGGCCCCCCTCTCATCCCGAGCAGCCGCTGAGCCAGTTTGGCTGAGCGGGTAGGCGGGATGTGGGGGAGGATGAGTCCCACATAACCCCGTCTCTCACCTAGGGGAGGGTATGCGTCACGCATTTTCCCAAAAAAAAAAAGGTATTGTATAGAATAACAAAATTAAACTCATTTCCGGTGTGATACATGTTACACAAAACATAAACTAGTTTTTCCCAGGCTACACCAGTTCGTCCTTTAGGCGATAGGATGAACTAGTACCTACAGACTAAGCTAAACTGATACGTCTATGGCCGATAGGAGAAACTAGTTTAACCTAAGCTAATCTAATTGAGCCTAATATGAATAAGTGCACTTCAGGATAAACTGGATTAATGCATATGCAGGCCTGAACCGTGTCTTATGCCTGGACCAAAATATCAAATTAGTTGGTTACAGAGATCCATCTCTTGGACAGAAATAGGCAGGAAAATTTCATACTGCTAGTTGATGACTTAAAGTTAATTATACCATATCGTTGTGACACGTAATGTGCTTAATTACAAGTTTATTTGTTGTATCATCATTATAATAAATCATCAATTATTACATTTTAAACTTACATCTCAATGATAATTGTAAACAACATTGAATAACAACAACAAAAAATTAGATTGTATTCAGAATTCTGAAAGATAAATATGGTATATCTTTTTAAAGAAAAGTTAAGCCGAGATATAAATGGCAGGAAAGGACAAGTAAGTCGATCATATTAAACCATAAATGTTATAAACACTTTGTGTTTCTAACATAACACAAATACAAATCGCTTTATTTCCATAGAGTTATTACATTTCATAAAATTTTAATTTACATTTCTGTAAGTAGTATGGAAAGTATAAGGATTTCCCAAAATGTTTGTAAACAAAACTCCATTTTATTACCACAATCACATGACTGCTGGCAAATATCCAATGTGCTGAAAATTCTAATATTAGTCAATACAAAAATATAACAGTGCCGATTGTGGAATGAGCACATGACTACATATCCCGTGGCGGTGAAAGCTCAGTCATGACTTGGGGATATTATATATAACCATGTGGGTGTGCGTATTATTATGCAATTGGCTACACTTAGGGCCGAAATATAATTAGAATAAAGTACCTATGTATATAATAACTAGATTACTTGGATATAATAAAGTACTTATATATCTTTTTTTATCGATTATTAGAACATTTGTGAAAGGTTTTGGTACCATTTTATCTTGAATTAGAGTACTTGTCTAGGGAAGCTACCTTCACCATACAGAAGACCAGAGCCAGTACAATTACATGTTATGGTGTTGTGTTTTTGTTAGTTATTAAGGTTCCAAAGCTTCACGAGGTAAGGATTGGGATCAGGCCAGCAAGGTGACTATGGCTTTATTGAATGTCTGAAAAATTCTTGAGACATATACCGTTTATTGGAGTAGCAGCGTTATTTCATCAGTTGCTTCTCTCTCAACCCCTATGAGTAACTAGTAATAAATTAATATATAGGAACTCAACATCCTCAATAAATCAAATGTATTAATTGAGACAATCAAGAATTGAATGATCACATTCAAGATCGGGATAATGTCACACCCAGAAGAAAGCAAAATTTCTAGAACAATGGAACCTTTTACAAAATGATTTCAGGATCACCTAGTACCTACAAAGTCAAGTTTATTCAATTTTAATATGAAGCCACCTGAAAGAAGCTTCCATCCAATGGAAGCTTTTTATAGATTCCTTGAAACTATTGTACGTCACACTGGTACAGTTTGAAAGCTGTTTTACAACATAGTGGCAATCGTAAATAAATAAATATTTCCAACACTCACACCAATTAGCCTAGCCCCAAAGTAAGCACTGTAAGGCTTGTGTTATGGGATGCTAGGGTAACGGATAGAATACAATATACTGTACATATATAAGTATATTTATATAGAAGACATATTAAACATCCATGACTGGAGTACAAATGCTCGTAATCATCACACAAACATCTGCTCCCACCGGGATTCGAACCCGGGACCTCTCGAGTCTGCGACACCATGAAACTCGGCGTACAAACCACTCGGCCACGGTGGTCATCAAAAAAGATTAGAGTAAATATGAAGGTGCAAACATTAATGACCCCTTCTTGACTCAATCACTAACTTATGCTTACTTACATATGATATATGTAGACAGTCCTACATAAATATAATTGCCATAATACTATTTAAGAATGCAGTTAGAAGTAGATACCAGTGTTGCCAGAACGATACTTTTGACCCTGTGGCGTTTCCAGACTCAAAACGTTACTTTTGAATTAAAAGAAAATATTATCAAATGTGTTTCATTAATAAATGCACAATTCCGTTTAAAACTGAAAACGCTTTCTCCTATGATCTTGGCTTACTTTGCTGTCAATATAAGGAAGACATTCGTAGCTCATTAGGATAATACAATAAGCCTAAATTCTAGAAGCGATTTTGAACCTTTAACCACTAAGGTTGAAAATTGAATGGAGAATTTTGCATACCTTGACGAGCTTTAAAGTAGCCAGTTACCTAACATTTATTGTCGTCTTTAAGTAACCTACCATTTTATTAAAAATAAACCGCTTACAAAAAACAAAACCACTAAAACATTAAGAAATAATAAGTTATCCTTTACTCAAGACAACTCTAATATGAATCAAAATTGTTAAAATCTCAAGCCCTAATTAATTATTATTAATACCCCATTATTATTACTAAAGATTATGATACCCAGAGAAAATATTATGTTAATTTGAAAGCTTAACACTGCTTTGTATTCTACAGATAATGTTATATTATGTATGAAACAAACTCAAGTGTTGAAGCTAGGGATTGCAATCCCGCAAAACGGGATCACGTATTCCCGCTGCTTTTTTTAATCTGCTAGATCCTGCACCTTCAAAGTGCGGATCCGCGGATCCAGCATCCGCGAATCCAGCAATTACAAAATTTGGCGCTAAAACTACGCGTAAATCGTGAGTAGCACGATCACGAGCGCGACGTTGCCGTTCCACACAGCGCGCAGTCGCGGCGCAGTTAACTCAAAAGCAGGCTCAGAGATGACATTTGCTTTTTAAGAGAGTACATATTTTCAAAAGTTATTCCAAAGGTTGATATTGGTGACGATTGTGGCAAGATTATTTAAACCTAAAATTTTATTTGACAACAGTATAACTTTTTCATACTCTATACAGAAAGAATAGGAGAGCCTGATGTTAAATTTATTTTTAAGTTTAGAAAATCATACCAATATTCTCTTTTAACTGTCACAAATTGCAATTTAGTAATAACATACAAGAAAATTTTAATGATTTGATTATTACTCATTATACAAATAAGGGTAAAATTAAACTATGCCAAACAAAACTATTAAACTATGCCAAACATTTAAAGATGAATCTTAGAAAACAGATAAATACTTATATTAGCAACCGAAATTCTTTCTTTCTATACCCGGTAATGTTGAATAAAAGTTGATTTTAGTTATATTTTTCATTTTGTTAGCATGTAACTGCTAGATATTTAAATCTAAAGAAAATTTGACTGGAAAAAATATCACGCGGACCAGGCAGCAGACGGGACTTCAACCCTTTCTTAAGCTACAATGCGAAGAGATGGCTCTGCCTTGCGGCTTAAAAGAGGCTAGAGAAAATTCGACACGGCCATCAGGGCCGCGATAGCATTATGGTCAGTGCATTCGCCCATATAACGAAGGGTGCAGGTTCGAGTCCCGTCTGCTGCCTGGTCCGCGTGGAAATTTTGTAGTAAAATACTGCAGTTTCAATTCAATTTTATAACATTACTTCAAAGTGGCGGGATCCTGCGTGATCCCGCACAGGATTCAGTAATCCCGCATATCAATCCCGCGAGATTGAATGAGCTGCGGGGTTGCAATCTCTAGTTGAAGCATTCACAGATGTTTTTCACTGCGTATTTGGGTTATCTGTGGTGTTTACAAATGAGTATCGTTTTTTCCTACATTACGGTTCAAAATTAAATATTTACACGTCACATTGCGTATTGTTTTATATACTTAGTATAATTTTAATTAGAACTAAAACTGGAAATTGCTTACAAAAAAATTACCAATTATCCGTTATATTTCAATCGACTCAATTAAACATGTTAGAAATAATCACAACAGTCTAGTTTGTTTGACCTTGGTTATATTATTATTAATAAATCTTACACGACTATCTTTATTGGAATAACCTTTTGATTTGCTTCTATTAACACATTCAGCAGACGGTGACGTACATTATTATGTATTTAATTGCAGTAGATCATTGCCAATATTTTTTTAAAAAAGTAAACCATCCAAATGTTAAGAATTCTTTTATTTTGATGAAGACACATTATGACGACCTCCGTGGCCGAGAGGTTTCGGTTTTCAAGGTGTCGCCTACTCGTGGGGCCCCGGGTTTGAATCCCGGTAGGGGCAAATGCTTGTGTTATGAATACGAGCATTTGTACTCCAGTCATATTTCTATATCAATAAATAAATAATAAAATAAATATAAATATTTCCAACACTCACACCAATTAGCCTAGCCCCAAAGTAAGCACTGTAAGGCTTGTGTTATGGGATACTAGGGTAACGGATAGAATGCATACACTCTACATATATAAGTATAATTTTATGTAGAAATACATATTAAACATCCATGACTGGAGTACAAATGCTCGTATTCATCACACAAACATCTGCCCCCACCAGGATTCGAACCCGGGACCCCTCGAGTCGGCGATACCATTCAACCCGGCGTACAAACCACTCGGCCACGGAGGTCGAATATACTTAAATATGTATACTGATACGTATTTAAGTATACATATATGTATTATATTCGTTACCATCGCAGGAACGTGCGATGCGTATTGTTGCGATACGATTTCGCGTGGCAAAGCTTTGGTTAAGGTGACCATACCTTCAACGGTAGCACGGTAATAATAGATAATATTACCGTGACGGTAGTCAGCCGTATTAGACCTGTTTTAATAAAAATGACTTGGATCACAAAAAGATTGTTGCACTGCTGTTATTGTTAAATAGATATAGAAGAAAAAGACGATTTTGGGTTTATCCATTAATTACAAATATGATGAACGCTGATGGGAACTATTTTACTCGAAAATACTTTTGAGTTTTTTTTAATTATGAATTTTAGAATGAGCTTATCTTTACTTGAAGAGCTTTTGAGTTTATTATCATCATGTCTACAAAAACTAAATGTCTCATAACGGACAGAAATGGCATCACCAAGTGTGAAGTAAAGTCGCAGGAATGTGCGATGCGAAACAGATCGGATTTTTTGTAATGCGATGTGAATTTGCAGTTATGTGTGTGAGCACTTAGGGCGCGTACACATAGCGATTTTGTCCGTTTAAGAACGGACGCGAACTGAGACACATTTGAGAAATAGGTATTTGAAAACTATTGCTGTCACGCATTGGCAAATACAGTGTGATAGGGACAACAGATTGATATTTATAAAGTGTGTGTCAGTCCACGCGCAACTCTGAGTTCTGTTATTGTTCATCACAAAGAGCAAATATATCAAACAACGATTAATAATTTCGCAACCAGACCTCGATGATCAAGTCTCTGAAGATTTTTATTGTGATAACTATTTAAGTTTTTTCTGCCACATTAGTCAATAGCTTCCAGTCCAGGTCTACCCCGAAGTTAGTCGGTCGGTGCCATGGGTGCCATGCAGGTCTGATAGATCCAAGTTCCCATTTACTACTTCGGTTGGCCAGGCACTGACACACAAAAAAATATTATTTTTCGGCGGTTCGGTGTTAAAAAGTTTTTTTACATTATGCCCAATACCAACCCTATTACATAATAAATAAAAACAAAAGGGTACTGTAATGATTAAAAAGTTATTTTCGAGACAGCTGGCAGTACTTTAATGAGTGTTTTTTTTTATGTTTATGTATAAAGTACGTGGTTATAAAACCATCTTTAGATTTGTGATTCGAATATTTATTTAGGACATAAGTGTAGATAAAAGACTAAAATTAACAAATACACACACACAATAGGCGGCCCAATTAGCAATCTTTTTCAGGCAAGTTAGACAACCCATAAAGGGATCGATAAAAATAGTTTATGCTCCTAATAATTGTGAACTTCAAGATGGCGGGACCCCGCCAGGTTTTTCAATTAAAATGTGATTAGGATTTAATGCAGAATTTCTTGCTATTTTATACATTTATAAAAAATCTGCACTCTAAAAATTGCAAAATATACAAGTAAGAAAGTGTTCCTGCTGTTTTGATATCAAAATGACGGGAGCACTAGTTAATAAATGAAAAAAACACAGCGCCATCTTATTTTAATGCTATTTATGACGATCAAGTGCCGTTCATTACTATATAACTGTAATTTCAATACAAAAAAGGCACACAGGGTGTTATATACACGCACACACACACATTAGGATGCGTCTTAACCAATTTCATTTTGACGTTCTTTCCATGGAATGGAATCCTATGGAACAAAAATTTAATAATAAATGACAAATTGATAAATGACTGCATATTTAAAAGAATAAACCACACTACACTCAACTAGGATTTTTTTATATTTATACTAAGAAGTACTATGATAAAAAATATACTATACGTGACTTCAATAATATTTTGATGAAGACACGTGTCCGTTTTATTTTCTTTGCACTGGTTGGACTCATCTCTCATATTTTTATATACCTAAGTAAAGCTTTTCCCTACAATACACATATATTATTTAAACATCGAACAATCAGACTTATGCATTTTGAACCTCGCCTGCGTTGTTAACACAATGTAGACAGTTATCTTTTCTACTTTGTATTTTTTATATAGTTGTGGTTTCTTATTGCTTCTGATAACCATAACACAAGTTTAGTGTTTCAGATACTCACTTAGGGCGTCAGAGCAATGTCTTTGATGCAGTTTTATATTTTCTCTAAGAACACTCACTAATCGTGCGCTGCCTTAAACGGGAGCTCGGAGCGGACGTCCGCTTCACGTGTAGTTTCATGTTATTTCATAGAGTACCGCTGCGTGAGGCGGGTCTCCCGTCGCAGCGTTGTTCCGTGCGTCCGCTCCGTACTCCGCGCTCCGCTCCCGCTTCAGGTTGCGGACGCCGTTCAGAGGTCAGAACAAAGTATTTGACGCTATTCTATATTTACTTCCACATACCTGTCACTAAGAACATTCCGATCATGGCCGGGTGGAGGCAGACTAAGCTGGAACGGTGTGTTGAAGTAGTGCTGTTGTTCGTGAGATCGGTGCACCACGCGGCCGCCCCGCACAACCATATACCCGCTGTCGCCGATGTTGGCTGCCCTCATAACACTTTCATTTCGGTCCAGGATCATCACACATGCTGTGCTACTGCCTTCAGAAAAGCAACAATAGCTTATTTTTAAAACCATTATGAACAATATCGACAAGACTTCTTTGTACATAGCTAATTGAAAAAAATAAAACCTTAATTTTTGTAACAAATTGTACAAATATTAGTATGATAGAGTAGAACTGTAATATCTTACCTAGTATAGGCTTCTTGTGTTCTAGTAATTCATAATATGATTTAGCTAGGAGATCCCCTGGTTCTGACAACTTGAAGTGACCCATTTGAACTAATCTTTCGCATGTTCTCATGAGATACGAGGAGAATTCGCCCGGATCGATGCCATACGCACGCCAGCCTCCCACGCCGTCAGCAACTCCTGATGATAAATAGAAGAACATGATAAAATAATTTTATAATAAACTAAATTATTTATACTTATATATAAAAATAAGTCTATGACGGTCATCACATCACCAGCATATTGTCTGCCGCTCTGAAAGAATGTGGTTGATCTGAAGTCGCGACGACGCGACGCCAGCGCTGCATAAGTGCCTGTCCACATTCCACGTTTCTACGTAGTCAATGTGAAACAGTGGTGTAACAATGCACAGTGCGCTAACATACGACCAGGTTTGTACATTATGTGAACGTACAGTGCAACGCGAACGTTACTTCATCGTTTCACGTTCACGACGTCGTGACGTGGCAATATGGAGAGTCACTAAGCCCGGGGTTCGGACTTTGGCAGCCGTTCGACGTTGGCAACGCTAGGGCGGTCGCGTCGCTCGGCGTCGACGTCGCTCTTAGTGGCGGCTACCAGTTGCCGCCATTTTTGGCTGAATTCATTTCATTCCCGTCATGAGCTTGCAAGGGTCGAACGCTTTTGTGAAATGAACACACTTGATTTCCCCACCAACACACGTCAGTTTGTTGATTTCTCCACCAACACATCAGTGAGTTGCCATATAATATGCTATAATTTGGCATTCCTGGACTTCGCAAAACCCAACAGCTATCGGTTCTCTTCGCTACGTGTCCCACCCACTGCCACTTCAGCTGGTTTGCTCAGCTGCAATCTGCAGCTCGTCAAGCAATATCGGTTACTTTAGTGCTCCTGCGGATTTTTTTTTTCTAATTCTATAACGCAGGGAAATACCGAGTATCACTCTCTCCATTGCACGCTGTGCGACCTTGAGCCTTCCGTAGGTCATCACTGGCAACACACAGTGATCAAAGAGACTGAGGTAATTTTAACGCGAAGATTTGCTTAGCTTCCCGAACGCTGCCCATCCGAGCTGGATACGACGAGAGATCTCTTTTTCAAAGTTGGACTCAACTGCACTATATGTCCCTGGTAAACGTAACGGTTAACTACTTCGTGTGGAATGTTCCGAATTCTAACTGTAGTGGGTATTCGACATGAACCTTATCCATGTTCATCTTTAGACCCACTCTTTGGAAAACACTGTTGAGATCTACAGGCATTGTGTTAATCATCGGCAAAGCGGAGGTGTGTTTGGTACTCGCCATTGATGTTGATACCAAGACCTTTCCAATCCAGAAGCTAAAAAAAATCCTCCAACGAACCCTTACGCCTTTTTGCAGTTAGATAGAAAGCTCTGTTTCTGTAATCAGACGTTTCGTAAAGGTACCTTAATACCTCTACATGCCTGTAGTCTACTTGGCACCTCTGGAGACTGAAAACTGCAGCACAGCAGAGAGTATCAAAAGCTTTCTCATAGTCCAAAAACGCTAAACAAAGTGGCAGGTTATACTCATCGGTTTTCTGTATAATCTACCGCAGTGTATGAATGTGGTCTAAGGTAATGAAGCCTTTTCGGAAACCGGTTTGTTGGGGAAGTTGGAAGTCGTCGAACTTGCCAGTGAGACGATTCTTAATAACTCTCGAAAACAACTTATGAATATGGCTCAGAAGAAGTGAGATTCGTCAATAGTTCTTTAAGAGGGTACTATCACCCTGTTTGAAGAATGGAATTACCTCACTTCTGCCCTATGCCTTAGGCCTTAGGCGTTCCACCTTCAAGGATGACGGCATAGAAGAGCTTCCCTATGGACTTTAAGTATCGGCTTACAGCACACCCTCAGAGGTTCTGTAGTGATTCCATCCATTCCATTGTCTGTCGCCTTAGTGTTTTTAAGTTGTTTAAAGGGGAAATCTTATCTTATACAGGCTGACTTCCAGGATATTTTTAGTACTGTCGGGTAAGCTTGGCTCTGGGATCTTTATCCTTGCTTTCAACAGGTGCATATGTAGAATATAACTGCCAATAGAACCTCTCCATCTCCCTCAGGATTTCTGCCTTATTCAAAATGATGCTATCAATGGCAGTGTTCAACTTCGTCAGTTAAGTTTGCCCAATAGACAGAACTGTATTTTCTTATTAATTTATTCATTGTTAAAATTGGGTACAATAAGATTGTAACATTATATGATAATAAAGATCCAAACAGTTGGTCCATTTAGGATGTACAGTGTCAATTTATATCAATTTTAATAATAATAAATAATGTTAATTGTTAATTTAATAATTTAAACATAATTTGTAGTCAATCTATCTTTATATATATAATTCTTCTGTGAGTGTGTATGTCACTGAACTTCTCTTAAACGACTGGACCGATTTTGATGAAATTTTTTGTGTGTGTTCAAGGGGATCTGAGAATGGTTTAGATTCACAATTTTGTCCACTGGACAACCCCTATTTTTTTAGGGCGGTACGAAGTTCGCTGGGTCAGCTAGTATATATATAAAAATGATTCGCTGAATGTGTTGCTAAGCACAAATCTCGAGAACAGCTGAACCGATTTAGATAATTCTTTTTTTTTTAATATTCCTTGAAGAACGAGGATGGTTTTTATGCAGAGAAAAATTAAAAAAGATGCCTGAAAAAGTACTAAAACAACCCTTTTCTATAGTCCCATAGAAACGATTCATAATAATACTTAAAAGTCAATTTGAACTTTAATACCATACCATAAAGGACATGGCTAAGAAACTGCCCTTAACATGTATAAATATTTCGCACTAGCCTGTAACTTTACAATTTTTTTTATTAATTATTATGTGTTTATTATTCTCATACAACTTTCGTGAAATAATCAAATATTTAAAAGTATAAAAAATGTCTTTATGACTGTTTCAAAAGCAAAATGTTCCATTTAACAAAATAAATGAACAATAAATGTACACAAAAAATATTTGTGTAAGTATATCGAAATAAACAATATTATTTCTAAACTCCTTCAAACTATGACATATTTGGCCCTAATTTTAATATTACAAATTACGAGAGGCCCAAAATAATTGATTTTATTATTCTGATCAGGCTTGAGACAAGGCTGTATGATAATTAATCCTTTAATTTTTGCAAATGGACAAAATAAAACTTCACAGATTTCCTGTCAGGCCTACGATAACAAATTACTTGTATTTATTTTTGCTTTAAAAACACTTTTTGTGAAGAGTTAATCAGGGAAATGGGAAGAAAGATTCTAAGAAAATGTGAAATTGATGACTCTGTAAATAATTGGCAACATCTTTTATCAACTGTACTAAGGTAATGACATAGTAGGAGTCCTCATAATTTTCAAGATTGTGACTTTATCAAAAGTTCCTGAGCCTTTTTCCACAGAAATTATAAATATTCAGCTAATTTCTATTAAATATTATAGAAATTAGTTGGAAACTAATTTCAATGTAAACACATGTCAATGTTAGACATTGATGTGTTCTAGAAAAAACACTTTGGTGCCCTTGTTCTGCTCTATACTTCTTTTATACAGCTAGTATTAAATTAGCAAAGATCGCTCATTTATCATTCATCCCATTTTAAGTTATGGTCAAATTGACTTAACCTTTCATGTTTTTATAAGTCTGTATTGAGATCAATAAAGTGAACCCAATTTGGAGTCAACTGATTTTTACTGATGAATGTACAAAAGAAAAGAACTGTACTCTTCACTGAAAAGTAAAGAGAAGAAGCGGGTTTATGTAATAAAACAAAATTAGCAAAATATAAACTAAGCTCTAGAAATTAGAACTAAATATCAATCCTTCACCTGCAAGAACTGGTGAGGATTATTTGATTATAACTGAAAAACCTTCCTTTTGAATAAAGTGAAGGAGACCATGTGTTAAAGCTTTTGGCTTTTTTATTGAAATGATTGTATGATTAACTTACCAATAACATCCGCATTGTTGAAGTTGGTAGAAAACCATGCGTCGTCTCCAAATTGTCCTTTACTTGTTCTGCCATTTGCAATGTCTTTTGGAAAACCACATACTACGGAAACTAAATAGGGATGTTTCTTGTTTGAAATATTAAACTCGGCAGCACTTGAAAGACTTGAAAGTCCATTTCTTAAAGCACGTGATAGCACTCTGCCTGTCCAGAAAATTGACTGCATCATTCATTAAATGTTTGTACTTTGACACCAGCCATTCACAATCGAACAACCAATTCAATAATAGACACCATGTTAATAGAAACAATTTTAAATGGTATTGAAACCATCCACTCGATTAAAAATAATTGGAATTAAAACATCAATATTTTTTAATACTAAAATTTTCTAATTTGTAAATCACAGCACAGCACAGACACAGAGAGAACAACCACACCACAGACTAGACTAAGTAGTAGATTTTAAATTTCATCTATCATGTCATTACAAAATCTCGTGATCTTAATGTCTTGTTGTGTACCGGCACAGGGCTATTCGTATTAGCTATTAGTCATTTTGACAGCAGGTTATCCTTATCACACTCATATAGATTGAAAAGGAAACACTGCTGTCAAGATTTCGAATACCAAACACAAAAAGCCCATGAAAAGTGTCGTACTTCTCTTACGCGTATTTGGTATTTCTAACTTTGTCAATGGTATAGTCTTTCTTTATCTTGCTCTATAGGGAATGAAAAAGAAAGACTGCTCTCATATTCATAAATGACAATTAGCATAGACATGTCAGTATCATCAAACATTTGGGTACGGCCAAAGTGCACTCAGATTCAGATTCAGACTCAGAAAACAAGTGCGAGAAATAAACAGTGTAGTCTAAGCAGGTTGCCTGCTTTTTCTCGCGCTTTGTTTTCTGAGTCTGAATCAGGAGTGCACTCTGGCCGTACCCTTCGACTACACTGTTTATTTCTCGCGCTTGTTTTCGGAATCTGAATCTGAATCTGAGTGCACTCTGGCCGCACCCGTACCCTTTGGTTGTGTTCCAATCATAGAGGTATAAGAATAGAGTAGGGGAAATTTGTACTCTACTACAAGTGGAAGTGTCCGTCTAGTAGAAAGAGAAAGAAGATGAGGGACGGCTAGCTATCTCTCTCTCTTGTGGCGCTGCGTAGTCGTGTGATTGGTCGGTATTGCTGCGCAGTGGTGTAATTGGTCGGTATTCATCCGCAGGTTTTTCATCCAATGCACATTCGCGATTAGAGAGAGAAAGGCTAGCCGTCTCTCATCTTCTTTCTCTTTCTACTAGACGGACACTTTTAGAGTCACCTTCCCCACTCTATTCTTATACTTCTATAGTTCCAATGTCATTAGGAATCTTTAAAAGTTATAATCAGCCTCAAATGGTGGAATACAATAAATCGACGTTGACGGTGTCCGTTATGCTAGCGTACACCAGATCAAACTCGAGGTTGTTACTAAATTTATCATTTTACTGGTGTCGATTCTGGCATGATTCTGTATCCGTCATGCTAGCGTACTTCAAATTCGTGGTTGTTACTCTTGCTATTAATAATAATTGTGCGTAAATACTAGTGCCTAATTAGCAATAATCAAAAGAATATTCATCCTTTTTAGATTAGGAAATAATAACTGTTTTGATGGTGTACGCTGGCGTGACGATCAAACTAGCTTACACAAGGCCAGTCTCAGAAACAGCTTAATGTTATGCAACAAAATTTTCACAGAAAATAGTGCTCTAATAGTGCCCACACTATGCAAAATTTCATAATCATAGCTCATAAAAGAACAAAGATATAGAACAAGGTTTAACAATCATCTTTGTAACTGGCGTCATGGTAGCGTACCCCAAACAGTGCATATAGAAAGAAGAAATCGTACTTATCTTTTAACTTAAAATACATGTATCAGTAGTGCGTGAAATTCTGCCTCTGTTACTTTATAAAACGTAAACAATTGTATATGTCTTTCGTTTTCATTCTGTACAGAGAACACACTACACACTCGGGATACACTGGTGTTGAATCTGGCATGTTTCTTTGAACTTAAAACAAAATTTGGCATCAGTCTCTCCTTTTTATTCTGTATAGAGAATGACAAAGATAATGGTGCCAATTCTGGCGTGATTCTCTAAACTTAAAACTAAATTTAACATCAGTCTCTCCTTTTCATTCTGTATAGAGAATGACAAGGATATACTGCTGTCAAATTTAAGTTTAGGTTTAGAGAATTATGCTAGAATCGACACCACTGTTGTCAAATTTAAGTTTAGGTTTAGATAATCGTGCCAGAATCGACACCAATGTCTACGTAAATTACCGCAATAAATATGTGACGTAATTACAAAGACGGCGGCGTTAGTTCCAATTTTCGCCACACTCATAAAGATCTTTGTCGCACTTTAAGTCGGTTTGTTTTTAATTTTTTTTTTACATTTAAGACCAAAAATAGACAGGGCCGAAACGCCAAGTCTATTGACGCGCTTAAATACAGGGCTGTATGGCTTTGGTATCTCTTGTCCTTTTTGTATCGAAGAGCGATACAAAAAAATATCTCTATGGTAAGGAAGGCGTTGTAGAAGCAATTTCATCTCCGTTCTCTGATACGAAATAGATGACGGTATCATATTGATCTAATAAAGTTTTTAGTGAAACCTAATGCTCGAGAGAGGTGCCGGTAACCCAATAGTGATTTCTTGGTAAGAACGGTTCAACAAAGGCACAAAACTGGTGTTCGATAAGTCACTTGGCAATATGCCTGCCGTCAGGGGCGATGGAATGCGGGGACTCGCAGTCTTCATATCTGATATACGAAACTGTAAAAGTAAAGAGGCAGAGATTAAGAGGATTAACAAGGAGCTGGCCAACATACGCAGCAAGTTTAAAGGTGATAAGACTCTCGATGGCTATCAAAAGAAAAAGTACGTCTGTAAACTTCTTTTTATTTTTCTGCTTGGCCACGATATTGACTTTGGTCATATGGAAGCAGTTAATCTACTCTCATCTAATAAATACTCCGAGAAACAGATCGGGTACCTTTTCATATCTGTTTTAGTCAATACCAACAGTGATCTGATAAAGCTGATTATCCAGAGCATAAAAAACGATTTGCAGTCTCGTAACCCCATTCATGTGAATCTAGCTTTACAGTGTATTGCTAATATTGGTAGTAAAGATATGGCTGAAGCTTTTGGTACTGAAATTCCAAAACTTTTAGTGTCTGGTGATACTATGGATGTTGTCAAACAATCTGCAGCTCTTTGCCTTCTAAGGCTCTTCAGAAAATCACCTGAAATTATTCCTGGTGGTGAGTGGACTTCACGAATAATACATCTTTTGAACGATCCACATATGGGTGTGGTGACTGCTGCAACCTCTTTAATAGATGCTCTTGTTAAAAAGAATCCAGAGGAGTATAAAGGATGTGTAACTCTTGCTGTGGCTAGATTGAGTCGAATTGTCACTGCTAGCTACACAGATCTTCAGGACTATACATATTACTTTGTACCAGCTCCGTGGCTGTCAGTAAAATTATTGCGCTTGCTTCAAAACTATACACCACCCTCTGAAGAACCTGGTGTAAGAGGCCGTCTTTCTGAATGCTTAGAAACTATATTTAATAAGGCCCAAGAGCCTCCTAAATCTAAGAAAGTGCAACACTCAAATGCTAAAAATGCAGTTCTTTTTGAAGCAATAAGTCTTATTATTCATAATGATAGTGAACCTAACTTATTGGTCCGTGCATGTAATCAGCTGGGTCAATTTCTAAGCAACCGTGAAACTAATCTACGATATTTAGCTCTTGAATCTATGTGCCATCTTGCTACGTCTGAATTTTCTCATGAAGCTGTAAAGAAACACCAAGAAGTTGTTATCTTGTCTATGAAAATGGAGAAAGATGTCTCAGTCCGACAACAAGCTGTAGATTTACTTTATGCTATGTGTGATAAGACAAATGCTGAAGAAATTGTACAAGAAATGCTGGCATACCTAGAAACAGCAGATTATTCAATAAGAGAAGAAATGGTGTTGAAAGTAGCAATTTTAGCTGAAAAGTATGCCACAGACTTCACCTGGTATGTTGATGTTATCCTGAATTTGATCAGGATTGCAGGAGATTATGTTTCAGAAGAGGTATGGTATAGAGTCATCCAAATTGTAATTAATAGGGAAGAAGTTCAAGGATATGCTGCAAAAACTGTATTTGAAGCTTTACAAGCTCCTACATGTCACGAAAATATGGTTAAAGTGGGTGGATACATTCTCGGTGAATTTGGTAATTTGATAGCTGGAGATACCAGATCTTCACCACAAGTTCAATTTGAACTGCTTCATTCAAAATATCACTTATGTTCAGCAGCAACCAGGGCTTTATTATTATCTACTTACATAAAACTGGTAAATCTGTTCCCAGAAATAAAAGCTCGTGTTCAAGAAGTTTTTCGTGCTGATTCTAATCTTCGTTCTGCTGATGTTGAATTACAACAAAGGGCATCAGAATATTTGCAACTTAGTATTGTGGCCAGTTCTGATGTACTTGCTACTGTTCTTGAGGAAATGCCAGCTTTCCCAGAAAGAGAATCCTCTATTTTGGCAGTTTTAAAGAAGAAGAAACCTGGACGAATCCCTGATGAAGTAAGGGAGTCAAAGAGTCCACAACCTACAAATACTACTCCAGCTGCAGTAGTTAATTCTACCAACAACACCAACAATTCCAGTGCAGATCTTCTTGGTTTGTCTACTCCTCCAGGCACTGCTGCGTCTTCTGCTGGTAATGGGCTTCTAGATGTTCTTGGTGACTTATATACTAGCCCCAAAGTAAGCCCTAATACAGTACAACAAAACAATATCAAGAAATTTTTATTTAAAAATAATGGTGTCCTGTTTGAAAATGAATTTATTCAAATTGGTGTCAAAAGTGAATTCAGACAAAACTTGGGGAGAATTGGATTGTTTTATGGGAACAAAGCTATATATCCAATTTTAAACATACACCCTGAACTACAGTGGACCGATATGCACAAACTCAATGTCCAAGTAAAACCCATGGAACCTGTTATTGAAGCAGGTGCCCAAATTCAGCAAATGTTGACAGCTGAATGTATTGAAGATTTCTCTGACACTCCGAGCATGACAATTACTTTCACTTATAATAATGTTCCACAGAAAATTTCATTGAAACTGCCACTTACATTAAACAAGTTCTTTGAACCTACTGAAATGAATGGTGAATCATTTTTTGCTAGATGGAAAAATCTTGGGGGTGAACAGCAAAGAGCACAAAAGATATTCAAAGCTCAAGGATCTATTGACTTAGCAGGAACACGTACAAAACTTTCTGGTTTTGGTATGCAACTGTTAGATGGTATTGATCCTAACCCTGAGAATTTTGTTTGTGCAGGAATAGTACATACTCGCCTTCAACAAGTGGGATGTCTTATGCGATTGGAACCAAATAAACAAGCTCAAATGTATAGGCTTACTGTCAGATCTAGCAAAGAAACAGTTTCACAAGAAATTTGCAATTTGCTAGCTGATCAGTTCTAAATGCCATTTCCCTTTATAAGTGGTCCTGAATTTGAACAACAAGTTAGACAGAGGTCTATAATGGTCTTTACCTACTACTACTCGGATGTTACTGGTATATTACATATACCAAGCAAACTGCAAAATACTGAAATGAGCAGCACTGAGTGAAATAAAAGCAAAATCTCTAGTGTACAATTTTGAATTAATATTTTTATGCCTAATTTAGAAATAGATATTATTTTAAGCAATTTAATTTTATCTATTCTCATGGCTAATGTTTATCAGATTATCTCCTATCCAAATTTATGTAAGTAGGTACCTAACTTAAAACAAAATATATGTGAAATACTTTAATATCAGCTTGCATGACAATTCTATAATTTATTGGAAATATTAACTTTATATGTTGATTGTTTTTAGACTTGTATTTATTTATTTATAGAAGCAGCCAAAAGACTATACCGATATCTGTTATAGGTTGTTGTTGTTTGACTTGTATTGTACAATAATGTCTCTTTGATTTGCTTTGGCGATTTTTTTTGTATTCCACCAACCAACCGAATGATTGTATTAATAATCCCTCTATTTTCAGTTGATATTACTCAGTATCACATTTATGGGCGTATTGTGTTCTTATTTAATTAAATATCACTTAAATAGATGAAATAGTAACAGTTGCCCTGATTCCTGATGTAAATAAAAAAGTAACTATATCCAAAAATAAAAATAATATAAGTATGACACAATTGATTAATATCTGCAAATGAAAAATCCAAATAATCTTAATAAGGTACATATTTAGCATATGTTGTACACCTTATTAAGATTATTATATACTTAATAATTATGATGATCAACTTGTGGATATAATGCCAAAACTTTGTTTGTAAAACAAACCTAATTTTTTGTTATCAAACAGTACAGGTGTTCCATTTGGAATAAAAATGAAGATTATTATATTTAAATGTTAAATTTAGCCAATATGGTCATACCAAAGTAGATATATTTGAGTAGAAGTTGTGTATCAGAATTTAAATTAGTGTGAAAAATTCTTCACCTGGCATACTAAAACTGCTATTATTTAGTGGTGGTTATTTAATTTTTAACAATCATCAAAGTATTATCTACTTTAAAATCATTCATAACTTGTTTGCATAAAATGATTCTTACTTACAAAGTATTTTTTTTATTTGGAATACATAGTACCCTCCAATTAGCGTAGTATCGGCATTACGGATTCGCTTCCTAAGTTCAATTATTTTTTCTTCACAGACATTCCTGTGTGTATATAAATTTATTTTTGCTAAAAAGATATTACTTATGTCTTACAATTGTAGATCCCATTAATATGTATATCTACAATTAAGTAAGAAATATAACCATGTTCCTTAAATCAATTTATTTTTGTTGTTTGATACTTATTCATACATTTATTGTTATTTTGTGTATCTTAATGGAAACTGTTATAAACATAAGAGTTTATGAGGAATCTCACGACGCTATTTATGAGTTTTATTTTCATAATATATGAACATTGCTGTAGAACTAGAAAATTAGTATTATGATATGAAATGTTATAAAATATAAAATCATTAGCGTGCTAAGTCTTGGCACTATAGGTTTTCATCATCAAATAAAATATCAAAAAAATATGTATTGTCATACTCTTTTGATATAAGTACTACATATTTTACTTGTTAAGAAAGAGGTGTCACGTTAATATGTATATTATGAAATTTAATGGAGCTGCTTATGTACTACATGTTACAACTTCATGTATCGTGTGATTAAAATAATGTACAATAATAATATATTGCATGAGAATGTCGAGTGTGGATTCGTAATAGAGATAGATGTTTGTTCGTTCTTGCGCTTCGAGATATTGTAACTTTAAAATAAATATTTATCCATACATTTAAAACCGTCTTTCAATAAACCAAACTATACATTAGGTCCTAAAATATGTCAGTAAAAATTTAAGGGTTAAAGCCAAGTTAAAATATTATATTTGAAAGCTACGGTTATATCCATAGGTCTCCCGCCGTAGATTTACGAACCGATGGCGTAGCTTCTAGACATTCATGAGTGCTTGTAACAGCCTAAACTGAATAAATCATTTTGATTATGATTATAGAGGATTGAAATATCAAGGGTAGGTATTATAGCTTTCCGCCTTGGCTTCGCACGCGTGGACTACAAACCTGGGTCCACATCCGATAATCGGAGACCGATTTTTTGTAGTAGAAAAATAGATCGTACTGATTGCAATAGTGCACGCACACGCCCTACTAAAAATAGGTCAGAAACAAAGTACAAAATCAAATCAGCCCGGTCCTACAAAGTCTGACGTGGGCGGGCACACTTATCCAATATTCTTTAATAGTCTATGGGGGCATAATATAAATAGGGGCAAACATCCAGTTAAACTTACATTCCTTCTCATCCTAGGGTTGGTATTGCCCAACGATATTAAATACCCTAGATACACCACGTGCGCTCAAAATGTGCCCCAATCAATAAGTGCTTGAACTCTACTCAAGCACTTCTTGGTTCACAGTCACGCGCGGACCGTTGAAAAGCCAAGATGTCGCAGAGTTGCCGTGAAAAAATGTGAAAAGATACTTAAAGTACGTAGTGTGTTTTTTTCAACAGGTATCTAATCAATGTTTGTTATTTTAACGCAATTGAAGCAAATTTTGTCCTCTAAACTAAAAACCTACTATAAACTGATTTAATAGAAAATATTTGTGATATAAGGAAAAGAGATGGCTATATAACCGGCAACAAATGCATTGCCGGTTATATAGCCATCTCTTTTCCTTAGGGTTCGTATCTGATATATTGTTAACAGCGTATTCAGAATTGCACGTGGAGTCAAAGAGCGTTTTAATTAAGACCTTATAAAGTATGCATTTAAGGTCTTTCAATGTTTAAATAATGCATAAATAATATTGCTTGCTCTGTGCTCATTTACCAATTTTAACCAATTCTGTCTTCAAAATTGATGTAGTTTCATACAAACTTACATTCTCTAATCCATATTAATATTATAAATGCGAAAGTGTGTCTTTCTGTTACCTCTTTACGCTTAAACCGCTGAACAATAAGAACAATTTTGATGAAATTTGGATAGAGATAGTTTGAATCTCGGGAAAATACATTCAGAAATTAAAAACAAGGGCAGAAATTAACCTTTAAGAGGGTGGAAGTTTGTATGGGAAAACCATTATCATATGGCTAGTAGTCTCTAGATTACTCCGCATTATATTTATTCTGCATGGGATGAATTTTCAAAACAATGTAATATAATTTTGATTGATAATAAGCTCATTTTCCAATTTGTCTTCGCTTAAAAAGGTTCAGCTGTGACGTGAGCGGCCGTTGACTGCGCATCGCGGGAGGCCTACGCGGGCGATATTGGTCTTTTAAGTGTGTAGATAAAGTTAAAAATTATTCCATACCACTTTTAGGCTGCCACTCAAGCCTCGCCCCGAGGCTGCGGAGCGGAGGAATATTAATAGGATTGCACAAAATCTTTTTACTGAAGAGTGGAGATTGCTTGCATTTGGTTAATATTTCTCCGTAGCCTGAAAATGCTCGTCGCGTCACTGCCATTTCGGTGTGAATCGTCTCTAAATGGAGTGAACGTATTGGAGTGGGCTGTTGACAGTACCAATCTTTATGTTCAGACGTGCCACGAAGTCTTACATTTAAGATTGTGATTTTTTTGTCCTAATACAGAGACGGCGAAGTCTTAGTAATAAGGTTGGGAAATTTAAATATTTAGCTTATTTGACCCTACCCTAATCATAATGCTGCTAGGCCAGATGTACGTAATCATAAATTAACTAACGTGGGTATTGTAAATATGAATATTTATGCCTGTTATTATTATTTTTATTGAAATAAGTTACAAAATAATTTTATTGACCGACGCTAGCATTATTATATCCATAATACTTATCTACATATCTACATAGTAAAAATAGATGTTAATCAAACCATTCTTCTACATTTGGTGAATTTTCTAATACATCATTTGATTCACTGAAACAAAAAAAAATCATTAGCAATGATGAATTACTGTTGTTAAAACTTAGTTTGTATTAAATTTGATAAGATGGATCATAATAGATAATGTAACGAATTACTGTCCCGCAATGCACAACATATTATTGAACAGCGAACTATCCTGCTGCTGTTGTTGTTGTTGACTAAACGCAGCACGCCTGTTCGCGCTGTTGCAATGTCGCTTGTGCATGTACGGTAGTCGCGATGAAAGCGAGCGACAACGCAACGAGTATGAGCGAGAGAAAGCATACTGTTGCCGCTCTGTTGCCTGCATTTCTAACTGTTAGTTATTTCATCGCGACTTCGGAACGATTACGGTGATTTAGATATAAAAATGCCTGTACATGCTCGACAGTTCTTTATTTACACACAGTTCGTTGCTACGCTCTTACGATCATGTTCTATGATACACCGAATCGCCATTACGGTGCAAGTAAAGATGATCATCTTTACTGCAATCGCACGATCGTGTATGCACAAGAACTTGAATAGTGTACAGAGTAACTTTAGTATTGTGTTAATCTTAGAATAGGCTTGTGTCAACTAACAATAAATCGAATGGGTTACAGTTTCTAAATATGAATTATGATATACAGATAACAAAAAATAAAGCTATTAATCATAATAATTAAAGATTATTATTATTTTTAGAAAATAAATTCGAATAAAATAGGCATTAGATCACGTGACGGCAAACACCAATCAGAAAGACTGACGTCACCACCTGCAAAACATTACTTGTGGTTGCCGTTTCCATACATTTCATTGATATCTCATTCATGTTATTGTTACTTTGATACAATTATCAGTTTGTTTTCAGATAAGTATTGAAAGGAAGCCTAATAAATCCATGGAATTGGGATTTACCGTAGCAAATAATAATATTTTAACCAAAATAAAAAAATAATTGCATAACTACTCGACATAATTAAGCATATCATTTGGCAACTAGAACAAGAATAATAATTATTATTATGAATAAATATACTGAACTCTCAAATAGACTCTAAATCATACCATAAAATTAAATCAGCTTACCTAACCTCAACCTATTGTCATTGTTTTATCAATATAATGCAATATAATTTATCCGGCTTGTATAACATTTTGATTTCATTGATTATGTTATGCAAAATACTTACATCAAAATGTTCATCACAAAATTATTCTTGTATTTGTTGATAAACAATGAATAGGTACCATCCCTCCTTGCAAGTTCTAACCATTTTTTCCGCATTTGTGGCATATAAATAATTAGTCTGGCGTTTTATGCTTCTCCTTTTATACTAGGACACTATACAGTACTTGTAATACGATGGATTCATTTTTAACTAAATAATTTTAATAGTCGGCGTACAGCGTATTGTTTGCTTTGCACGGCGTGACGTCATTCTAGACGCCATGACAGTCTAGAGCGTTTTCGAGGGGAATTTGAATAAGTTTTTTAAAATACAAAATACATATTGCTAATGTACTTTTTTAATTAAAATAATATTTTTTGGGGTTAAATAAACATCAAGGTATATTATTAACCACTTCTTAAAATATAGGCAACTAGCCTATTGTGTGGTAAATAAAGAACTGTCAAGTGTGAACTGGCATTATTATTTCGAACCCCATCCTGACACGTAACAATAACATATTTTTGCGCAATCGGCCGAGTTGTGTACAGAGTGGTATACTGAACTCCGAGGCATGTGTGTAGGTACCTCACGCGTAGGATTTGCGTTTTGACCATTTGTATGAAGTTAAAAAAAAATGTGTGTGTCAGCTCCGACGCACGACTGGAGTTTACTCCTTAAGTTCGATAGTCTAACCAGACACAAAAAGAGTTTATTTAACTTAAAAAAGATTGATACTGTATTAAAGGGTAAATTAACAAATTAATGAAAATAATATACATATATAAATATAATTATATTTATTCATTTCATATACATTTATTATAACTAATCGACGAAATATTTTACATTAAACTTTTTACAATAGTCAATTTCAGATGTGCATAAATATATTATTTTAAGTTATTGTACATCTTAGTGTTTTTATTTGTTTTGTTACCTTAAGTCATGGTGGGCGATAACAGAGTCATGTTGTTAAGTTAAATATTTGTAAGGACAAATCTCAGTTTGTCCTTGGTGGGCGATTATGGTTGCTTTCCAATTACAGCATTATTGCGCATTATGCGGCATAATGCTTAACGGTAAGTGTTCTAACTACAGCAACGCTTCGCACAATTGAGCACTCTCAAAAGTGATGCTTTCGTGTGATGCGTGCAATGGTACCAACTTAGAGAAAGAAAATTAACAAGTGTTTTTTCTTTAAGTTGGCATTGATCGAAATGTTTTATTTATATGTTATCGTTAGTAATATTATTTATTGTTGAAAAATTATTAAAGCTTTCGTTTCATTAAATAGTTTTTTTTTAAATAATCAAAGTTCATTCAAACTGTTAAAAAATAAATATAAGTATGGATGAAGGTACAAACATTGACTTTTTTTTTCAACATTGAACTTAGCGCACTCTGCTGGTGCATTTGAAAACTAATTCACGTTCCAATTAAGCATTAGCATAATTGGGCATTGTGCGGCACTGAGTCGCATTATGCTCTGTAATTGGAAAGCATACTATGTATACGCCATTTGTGCATTTAAAATTTTAGTTCATATGTACCAAAACAGATGGCGCTGTAGTTCGTTGCATCACGCTTGTAAATATGTTTGGACCTACATATAGGCAAAACGTCACCTAACTACTAAAGAAATCTATGGTCTTACAAAATACACTATAGTTTCAATTTAATTCTTTTGCACCTAAGCTCTCGGATTTAAGAGTCATTTTGGCTCGAACAGGATGCGCACCAAAAACGTAACGAGGTCATTCATCGATAGATTTAACTCCTCAATTTTTCTCATACCGGGCCCCTTATATATGCAAATCGATTCTTAAGGAGTAAACTCCAAAAATTTTAGATAACATTACCGTGCCCTGGTTCCCTTATATAATTCAGACTAGGTATTTTCTAGTGTAAAAGCACAACACGTCGGCACTATATGATATTGCTTTGGGTTTTTAAGAAGGTGGGCTGACGACAGTCCACTAGCGCCACCGATAGACCGATAGCCTAGCCGCGCCACTAATTAATCCAAGTTATTACTTACATACCTGTCGAGTGACGGGTCATTGCTAAACATTTCTGTCGGCACTGTGGGTGGTGCTCTCTCAGGTAACAGTTCCAGATACGACTGCCGCGACTGCAAGTGGCGTTCCACTTCTTCAGGAGTCATGTGTCCATCTCCAGCAGATAATCCAAAACCAAGGGCAGGAGATGCCTTTGCGCTCATAGCACCAGTAGTTTGATGCTGAAAGACATGCATACATTAACAAAAGCATTAATATTAAGAAGTAGGTATCTGTGCTTGATCAAGTTTTAAAGCATTTTTTATAAGTAGATAAAATGTTTAGTGAAATACTGCAAGTGCAAGACATATTTAGCCAAACTTACACACTTAGGTAAGGTAGTGGCACCAATGACCGACAAGAACCAATGATCAACAATCCCTTTCTGTAATCAATGAAAACAAGAGCAGGCAACCGATCGCCAAATATGGTAGACGCTCGGTGTTATGTTCATTGATCACAGAAAAAATAACTAATGCCGACAGGAGCCGGGGCCGGATATATAGTGTAAAGTTGTATGTGAATATAGGTCTTAATATCAAGAAGTTATAAAAAAACTAAATATTCTTAAATTATAATATTTATTTTTTAAAGCATGTAACTGCTTGATTAAATCTAAAGAAAATATAACTAGAAAAAAATCCACGCGGACCAGGCAGCAGACGGGACTCGAACCCGCACCCTTCGCAATCCGGGCGAATGCTCTGACCAATTATGCTACCGCGGCCCTCACTCATTCTTAAATTTCTACCTTAAACTACTTCAAAGGCAAAATCTTAATTCTATAACTTAATCTAAAAAACATGAATTAAATACATAAATAGTGAGGAATTAAAATACATCACAGATTAGCCAACCGCGCGCGGGAAACGAGATGCGAAATCGCGGTGATAACGGGAGTTTATTTACGTAATAAGGGGCGTTCGCTGTCGTGTTCAAGCTTTTAGTCCGAGGCACGCATTCAACCAGGGGGTCAATCGCCTAAGGGAATTGCTATGGCTAACGCTATCTCTTACGATTTCCTTTTGTTTCTGACCGCCGAAAGTTTTCAAATACCTTACACTCATTTTCCATAATATTGTTGTTAGCAACAAAAAAAATTAATGGGGGGCATTTGAAAACCTTCAACGGTCAGAAATAACAAAATGAAATCGTAAGCGATAGCCATAGCAAATCCGTTCGCCGCGCCGTCGTTCTCGCGCCAATCGGTCGCGCGATCCAAAATATTTTACGAAGTTCCCGCTGGGGTGAGTTTAAATACTGTGTAGAGTTAATAACACTTGTTATGATGTTCTCTTCTCTAAAAAAGTTTGACGTAAACATTTGTAAGGCCAGTCTGTCCTACTCCTATTTTAAATTTTGAACCGTTGGCCGTTGGGACCGTTTTGAGAGACCAGGAGTAATTTATTAAGGTGCTGCCCTTTGGGTTCTAGGTGCTAAGTGTACCGTATCGCACGAAGAGGAGCGACTCCTGTTTCCCAGAGACTGCCGCAGGATTTTCAGCCGGGAAACATCTCCACCATTTGAACCTAACGGAAAGTCATCGGTGGAACCTACCGACGATACTCGCTGACCACGGCACCTTCGACCCATTACCGCAGACTGATACTTCCAGGCCTGTGCTGTTCTCTAAATTTCTCCTCTGACCTGCGCAGTTGCGACGGCCACGGAACTAGGTTTGGGCAATATAAGAATTTATTTTCTATCAAGCAATTCTTTTATTTCCGAACCCACGACTTGCGAGCCATATGGTTCACTTATAGATAGATAAGGCAGTAGCCTTAACTATGTATTTATGGAATGTATATAATTCTTTCACCTCTAATGACAACCTTATATACTTACAAGATTGTTAGCATTTGTTTTCTTTGGAACAACAACTCTTTTCCTTTTTACCGGGTTAGCTCCCTTATTTAAAGCAGGTGCTGTATTTTGATGAGAAGCATTGGCTTCCATTTTTTTCCTATAAAACAGAAGTACAAAGAAATAAGTTAAAAAATAACAATTAAATGACAACCTCAATAAAAATGCACAATGTTTAATACATAAGACATATATGTTGAATAGATATTTCAACTATTCCAATAACTTCTTTAAAACACTAATAAATAGTTGAATTTATATCTGTTGTATATGTCACTGGAAAATAGCAAGAATCAACCTAAGTTGATAATTTTTCAAGGTAGTTCATCAACTTAGGGAACATAACAAACGGCATTGGAAATTTATTATTTGTTGCAATGAATTTTAGCTAAAATACTGCTGTAATAACTGAAGAAATAACAACATCAAACTCTAATATAAACATAACAAATGAAAAAGAAAAAAAGTGGCCAAGTGCAAGTCGGTCTCACCCATGAAGGGTTCCGTAGCAGCAAGTAACATAATATAAAAGTTTTTGTTAGGGTTAGAAAATAATGGTTCTCAATTTTCGAGGTATTGATCAATTTATGATTTTTGCTATTTTCCAGTGACATATATAAAAATTCTTCATAAATAAATTTAGGACTTTTATAAATATAATGAAAACTTAGAAACATTCAGTAGAATGGTGAAACATTTATGTTTTATTTATGATATGGAATTAAATAATTATATTAGGAAATTAGCTTTTAAGCTCTTCTGTTACCTTTTCATGGCATCCATACGATTGTAATCTGTGTCATCTGATGATTCTGTGTCCTCACTTTCAGAAGTAGTGCTGTCAGGTTTTTCATATTGTAATAATCTATCTAACAGGAAACTACGATCTCTAGAGACTTTTAATAAACGTTTTTGACTTGATCTAAGAGCATCTTGGAAGCACTCATTTTCCTGAAATTGTATAGTACTTATACATATAATGTCAATTCTGGCATGATTCTCTAAACTTTTAACTAAATTTATGATCAGAGTCTCCTTGTGAATATAGTATAATATCTGTATAGAGAATGACAAGGATACACTGTCAAATTTAATTTTAGGTATAGTCATGCCAGAATCTACACCGATATACCATTATAAATATCCTAGGATATTTATGAACAAGATACAGTGATGGGCATTCAAATGGAGACATACTTTATTTTTTTTACTATATGTTCACTTTATTATTCTAGTCATTGACTCCCTACTATTTTTATTTACAACCCACTTAGGTTTGTCATAAATAAACATACAATTTCCTCAATCATCAATTTTTTCACTTTGTAGAACAGAACAGATTTATAAATGTTTCACCCTATAAAACAATAGGGGATAAATGTCAACTTTTATCTCTTCTCATGATCCCCTCTAAAACTAAAGTTACGTGACATAATATTAATTATTCATATTTAATCTTTTTTCAATGTTGGAAATAAAAGGGGTATGGAAGAACACAGTTAGGCTTACAACTTTGAGGTATCCATGGATTGCTGAGTTATCTAATAACTTAGGCAGTGTAAATGAAAAAAAATTGTAGGTACTCTGTTTTAGATTGACTTCAAATATTTGTGTATGCGAGGTAGCAGCTGGTTACTACCTCACATGTAGGCTAGTTGAATCTATTACTTTTTTTCAATACTTCAGTATGACTACTCACATAAATCAGGTATTTAAGTTTTTTCTTCAAAGTAAGATACTGCGCCCGATAGTTTGGCTCTGATTCTGGTTCACTGCTGCTATCACTGGAATATGTACGCGAATCGCGGGCATGTGTGGATTCTGGAGGTGCACTACTGCTAACACTGGCAGCTTCACTTGCTTGCATATTTGCTATCGAGCGGCAATACCACCCGTCTAGCATTTTCTGAAATAACATTGGAGAAATTAAATTTCGTGCATGGATTCTCTATCTTGCTAAAGTTTCCTTTATCCTTAAATTGCAATATCTACCGTGGTACCTAGTTATTTTCATGCTGCATAAATTGCGGAGTAGAAACATCTCACCTTGGGATAGTTTTCCGACGCCAGAATGATTTTTTTACAGACGAAAATAAACTAATAAAACAAACAGTTTCATTTATTTACTTGAGCAGTACCACAGATCAAAGAGTAAAGTAAGTATCCACCAAAGAGTACTTATATATACTGGAAAGTATCCACAGATTACAAAAGTCCATATTGGTGTGGGTTCACAGACTATTTAGTGTGTGGGTTTCCGACGTTTCTATTCGGCATGATTCTCTAAACATAAACTGGAGTTTTTGGCGGGATTTCATCGAGTGCGGTTGGCGTCTTATTTTAATTATTCTTAAATTCGTTCATAGTGGATATTGTGAAATAAAATTGGTGTGATTTTGTGTTACAATCATCTGCGCAACTGAAGAATTAGGTGAATCTTTAAAATATACCCTATTCCGATCAAGTGGACGTGAGAACTTTATTGTAGTGTTGACTACATCACAGAAGCTTATCGATAAAAGCAACTCGATACATTTCGTGCCAAACATTCCAAGAAACATTAGAATGCGTCACACCGACATTCTAATGTAAATAAAAAAGAAGAAGATTCAGATTTGTATTAATGTATGCAACTGAAAGACTTGTATCCATGGCCATGAATAATTAAAAAAAACCTTAACTTAAATTTGACAACAGTGCATCCTTGTCGTTCTCTATATAGAATGAAAAGGAGAGGCTGATGTTTAGTTTTAAGTTTAAAGAATCACGCCAGAATCAACACCAGTGTATCTTTATCATTCCCTATACAGAGTGAAAAGGAAAGACTGATTTTAAATTTAGTTTTAAGTTTAGAGAATTGTGCCAGAATCGAGACCAGTGTGTCCTTGTCATTCTCTATAAAGATCGAAAAAGAAAGATTGATGTTTCAAGTTTAATGAATCACGCCAGAATCAACACTATACGTTTGAAATAAAATAAGAAAAAAGAAGAAGAACACTAGCGCTGCGTTAAATATCTACGTTTTTTGATGTGTAACATCTTTCCTCTCGCTTTCCTGCAATTTGTGGGAGTGATTTCGTGAAATGAGACGGAAGTGTGCAACAGGAAGTCGCGAAAGCTCGCGCTATTTGATTTTAGAACATAATGTTCAAATGGCTTATTCCTTTTGTATTAGGTTTTATTTCATTTTTTACTAATATAAGGAGAGGTTTCAAATGTTACACATCATACGCGACTACTGTTTTTTTTTGTTTCCTACCAGGTGAGGGAGCGGATGTGAAATCCTAATGGTTACTCTAAAGCCCGCTGTAGGGTTACCTATATCAGACAGAGAATGCCTAAGGCTATAGGGACTTGCAGGCTTCTTCTGATGGGATCAACCCTTGAGAAGTGGATGATGAAGCTCTGACTTAGTAAATACTACTGCATAGTGCGCTTAGAGGATGGATTAACTCTGATGTGCACCCGTATCGGATTGAGACTGCGCGACTGAAGATCTCTCAGGATCGGGGGGAGGGAATACCTACGCTCGTAGTGCTACTTTTATAGGCTCCTTTTTGCCCTGACGAGGTTTTGAACGTAGCCCAGTAATACAGAGCATATTTAAAAGAAAATTTAGTTGTTTCATTTGGTGCATGCTACTATGACGCCAGCTACAAAGGTTTTTTAAAAGTCCTTGAGAAAACAGTCCTTATTTCATAAACTAAATAGGAAGATTTTGTGCACTAATTAGCACTAAATATTGGTTTAAGTAACAACTTCAAATCTGATCTGATATTCGCTAGCACGAAGGCCACTCGGTTGGCCGCTTAAATATTGTTGAAGGAGACGGCAAACCAAGCTAGTGCAACTGCATGGTAATAATGATTGTCGTTGACTGAACTTTGACGTGACATTAGATGACTTGATTTGTTAGCTTCTGTCTGTGTCAGTGAAAATTTTTAATTACAAGTGGTTATGCGTCATCTGTAATTTTATTAAAATATGGAAACTCTAACTTTCAATTACAAGATCGCTCCTCTTGAAGGAAAAGCGAACTGGGACACCTGGAAATATAAGATGCTGATCATTCTGAAAGGCATCCCTCGTGCCCTAGATGTATTAGAAGGCAAACTCACGTCATCGGTTGACAAAAATGGAAGTGAAGCTACCGGGCTACGCTACGGATTTTTCCAAAGCCGACTCAAGTGCTCTTTTCGTTATCACCAATAATATGACGGAAGAAATGCTCAGAAAGGTTATGAGATACACAACCGCACAAGATATTTGGCTTGAGTTACACAGGATGTTCGACGGAACAAACGAGGATCGAACCTTTCAACTTTGTATGAGTTTCTTCGGTATGAAAAGATGACGCAGCCACTCATCTATCAAAGCTGAAGAATATATGGACTTCTCTCAACAAAGAGCTTAGTGATGGCAAGAAGTTACCAGATCTACTTCTCATATGCAAAACACTCGACACTTTAGGAGAAGAATACAGCTCATTCAAAAGTGGATGGCTAATGTGCCCGACGTCCGAACGAACCGTGGAAAACTTAACCAATCGCCTGTGTGTTTTCGAAAGGAACTTGATGGTGCCCACCGAGCCACCGGAGCAAGAAGCTTTACCAGCGATGAACACACTTAATGGGACAAACAAGAAGCGAAATAACCGCAAGTGGTGCAAATACTGCTCGACCAAAGGCCATAGCGTCAAGGCCTGTCCTAAGTGGATTCAGGATGGAAAACCTCCGAAAAGCAGTAACCCACCTTCCTCTTCGTCGTCCCGCAAGCAAGAGTCTCAAGTTGCGGAAGTCCTGACATCAGAACATGGTGAAGTATTTGTGACTACACCAGATACAGTGAACTGGTTTGTTGATACCGGTGCGACCTGCCACGTTACCAATCGCAGCGATCTATTCCAGACCTTCCAACCATTCGACGAGACGCACATGATCTCCATAGCTAATGGAAATGCACTGCAAGCCAAAGGCAAAGGAAACATCAACCTCAAATCGAAGGTACGAGGAAAAGTCTACGAGATCACCTTGGCGGACGCGTGGTACGTGCCACAGATCACAAAGAACCTCTTCTCTGTCCTCGCTGCTCATGACTGCAACTCAACAACGAAGTTCGAGTCGACACCAACGCGCTTCTCCATGTCGATGCGTGGTATAGTGAAGGTGATAGGTGTACGCAGCATCAGCAGTGGCTTATACAAGCTGAACGTAGAAAGTGTGATACCCAAAAGAAATTTGGAAGTATATCTTACCCTTACACGGACTCAACTGTATCATGAACGTTTTGTTCACCAGAACAAACGTCATGTTCGACAATTTGTGAAACAGGAGCTGGGAATAAATCTTCCTCAAGATGAAACGGTATGTGAAAGCTGCATACTGGGCAAATCCCATCGTCTGAAGTTTGGCACGCGACCTCGAGCCTCAAGACCAGGAGAGCTCGTACACAGCGACGTATGTGGACCGTTCCCCAATTCATTCACAAACTTGCGATACTTCGTGCTGTTTAAGGATGACTTCACTGGCTATCGATATGTGTACTTCCTGAAAGCCAAATCGGAAGTAATACAAAAGTTGAAAGATTTTATCGCCGAAGCACAAAACTCTGGACGTCCGATCGAAACGCTTCTGAGCGATAATGGCGGCGAATTTGATAATCAAGATGTGCGCGAGGTCCTTGCCACTCATGGAATCAAACAGCGGTTAACAATGACATACACCCCAGAACAAAATGGATGCGCCGAGAGAGACAACAGGACTCTGGTTGAGGCCGCCAGGACTGTCATGCAAAGCGGAGCTTTCGAGCAGAAGCTATGGGCCGAGTTAGTCAATGCGGCTGCCTACGTTCTCAACCGAACTGGACCATCTCGAGTGGAGAACAAAGCGCCCTATGAACTATGGCATGGAAAAAACCGAAGATCGCACATTTACGCATCTTGGGCTGCACAGCCTACGTCCATGTCCCCAAGCAGAAACGAAAGAAGCTTTCCCCTAAAGTCCTCAAAGGAAGACTAGTCGGATACGATTTAGATGATGGCTATCGTATTTGGTGCGACGACAACAAATTGATGAGATCGCGAGACGTAATCTTCGACGAGAAACCGCTTGACCGAACTCAATGCGACCAAGTTGTACCTACGACAATGAAAAAGGAAACACCGTTCAACGATTTCGAGTTGAAAGTAACCTTTGATGAAGAGCGCAAAGATGTTCATCAAGATCCAATCTCGAACCCAAGCCATCAAAATAAGCAATCAGAAACTGATGTGCAGAATCAAGGATGTGCACCACAACTGCAGGAAGACAGATACTCTTATCCTGACCTGGATATTCATTCCGCTGGTGAAGAGTCCAGACCACCTAGCCCCACCGCTGGTGAACGATCTAGACCACCCAGCCCCGATGATGGTGAACAGTCAAGACCAACGACACCCAATGTAACGCGGTACGACACAAATCTAGAAGATTCATCTGATTCCGAAGATGACTCACCGGAACTGAGATATAAATTAATCTACGGCCTCGATTAGATTAAGTATATTTTATTTGAGTTGTATTTGTGAAAACTGTATAAGGCATATCAATGCTACATCATCTCGTTTTATCCTTAGTTTTAACATGCTGTTTGTTTTCCACGAATAAATAAATAATCTACGAGATAGAAGCACCATTCGTCACCCACAGAGATACAGAGACTGTTATGCACTTTCCGACGACGAAGCTGAACCCACTACGTTCAAGGAAGCTATGAAGAGCCCGTATAAAGACGAGTGGATAAAAGCAATGCATTAGCATGGATTCGGCTCTTCATAGCTTCCTTTCTATCTCTATTAAGAGATAGATTCTTTGACAGAGAATAATAATAATAATAATAATAATAATAATAATTTATTCCCAAACTTTTTATACAATATGGTTTTACAAATACAGGCACAGGATATTTTAAAACTAAGGATCTGTGGGTACTTAAAATAGGAAAACCCTGTGACTTAAGTACCCACTCTCTTCCAGTGACACAATAAAGTAAATTTACAAGATACCACATTGATTAGAAAATATGATTTTAAATGAAAAACGAAAATTTAAGTTACATTAACAAACAAAAAAAAAACTTTTTTAACAAGAATTAGAACCAACATTTAGTTTTATTTTGTAAATAA